TTTTGAAGAGCTTTTTCCTTGCTTTTATCCTAGAATCAGAGAATTATTAAAGCTGGAAAAGACCTTCAAGTCCAGCTATCAACTGTCATACTTATCATTATACCATGTCCTCAAGTGCCATACCCACATGTTTTTGAACACTTCCAGAGATGGTGGCTCCACCTCTTCCCTGGGCAGTCTGTTCTAATGCCTTACAACCCTTTCCTGCTCCCAGGAGGGATAACCATTAACTTTTAAAATTACTTGTGATTATTTTAGCTGTATGTCTGATCCTGGAAGTTATACTGTATTGCTAACTTAGTAGTAAATGTTTTTTAACAGATTATAAACATGCAGTTGGGAGTGAGGAGCCCATTTTTGTCTGAAAACTTGTGTCTCTGCAAAATGTCACTCAATTAATTGCTTATATTGCCTTGTCAGTAATGCTAAATGAACGCAATGCAATTTATGTTAAAATGTAAGCTGCCTTTTTATGTTACGGAACCTCTGATGTCCTTGTCTTTCCACATAATCTACACATAGAGTGTAGATTAGCATATATTTGTTAATTCTTTCTTAAGTGCTTAGGTTGTTCCTTTAAAAAGGTATATTCCGATGACCAAATGCCCTACAAATCACAGAATCATTAAGCTGGAAAAGACCTCCACATCCAACCTTTGACCAAACACTACCATGCCAATTAAACCGTAGCACTAAGTTCCATGTCCCGTCATTTACTGAATGATGGGATGGTGAATCCACCACCTCCCTGGGAAGCTGGTTCCAACACTTAACCACCCTTTCAGTGAAAAAATTCTTCCTGAATTTTTCTATCTGAACCTCCTCTGGCACAGCTTGACGCTGTGTCCTCTTTTTCTGTTGCTACTTGCCTGGGAGAAGAGCAAGTTACACCCTCCTTTCAGGTAGCTGTAGAAAGCGATTAGGTCACCACTGAGCTTTGTTTTCTCTATGCCAAACAACCCCAGCTCCCTCAGCCACTCCTCACAGTTCATGTGCTCCAGACCCTTTCCCAGCTCCCTTGTCTTTCTCTGGGCAAGCTCCAGCACTTCAATGTCTCTCCTGAAGTGAGTGGCCCAGAACTGAACAAAGGATTCAAGGTGCGGCCTCACAGTAAACACCAAGAGTACTCTGAGAGGGACCATCTCTTCCCTAGTTCTGCTGGCCACACTATTGCTGATACAAGCCAATATGCCACTGACCTTCTTGGCCAGCTGGGCACACGGTTGGCTCATCTAGCTGGCTGGCAACCAGAAGGTTCCTTTCTTCTGGGCAGCTTTCCAGCCACTCTTCCCCAAGCCTGTAGGGCTGCCTGGGGCTGTTGTGACATAAGGGTACGACCCCACACTTTGCTTTACTGAACCTCATACTGTAGTTCTCAGCCCATGGACCCAGCCTATCCAGATCCCTCTGCAGAGCTTTCTTGCCATCCAGCAAATGAACACTCCCATCCAATTTGGTGTCATCTGCAAACTGAGGGGGCACTTGATCCCCTCATCCAAATAACTGGTAAAGATAGTAAACAGGACTGGCCCAGCACTGAGCCCTGGGGAACACCACTAGTGACCAGTCACCAGCTGGAAGTTACTCCATTCACCATCACTCTCAGCCCAGCCACTTTTTAACCCAGCAAACTGCACGTGTGCACTCCATGAGCAGGCAGTTTCTCCAGGAGAATCCTGTGAGAGAGACTACCAAAGGCTTTACTGTAGCTCAGGTAGACTACATCCACAGCCTTTCCCTCATCCCCTAGGTGGGTCACTTGGTCAAACCTAGAGATTTAATTTTGTGTGAAGTTCTGCTCCACAAGACAGTATTACTGTTGATACTATTTTCAGAGATGCATGCCTGGCTCCCCATCAAACCTTTACTTAATGGCCATATAATTGGCCATGACTTTTTTTCAAAACACCACAGATTTAAGATCTACTCTAAGTAAAATGTAAATTGTTTGCAATAGTTTTGTATGGCTATTAAAGATTTTACTTGAAATGTTACAAAATTTTGTGAAATCAAAAGAATAATAAACCATTATATTAATTACATAGCATAAGATAATAGTTTAGGATTGTATTTAATATAACATGACTTTTGACTACGCCTTTATAAGAGATTCAATGGATAAACAACTCACTTTTGCAACACAGTATTGTGTTTGAAAACAAAGAAAGCTAGGGCAGATTCTTCCAGTCTCATATAAGTAAAATGTATCTGAATTAGTGAGAATTGTTTTAAGAACAGCAGTGGCCTGCTACTGCCTTTGTACATCAGAGTCAGGTTTTTTAAAGGTAAAATTGTTCTCTATACAAATAAATCCTAAACTTGGAATCAATTTATCTGCCAAAAAAAAGAAAATCTAGGTTCAGTCATTCAGTGATGTTTAACTTTCCATAAACAAATGTTTAGCTAGTAAAAATAGTTCTCCCTTAAGCAGTTTTTTGGATAGAATAATCAAGACAAATGCAATCTCCCCATCCAATTATGTTCTGCATTCTTTGTTTACACTCTGTGAGAAAAGTTAATGGGTTTCAGTAACTGATATAAGTAATTTATTTAGGCCCATTACTGTAATTAATTTTTTCTTAAATGAAATCACACTTTTTGGCAGTGTTAAATTAATTTGAGCTACTGCTGTACCCCATTTCTTCAGTAAAGAATTCTCATATTTTTAACTGATTTATTTTTGTCATGTGTCAGGACACATACAGAGCTGTTTAAAACTTTGTTTTCATAACTATCTTAAGTGTGCTTACTCTGACTTCAGCTTTAAAAAGATTTGAGAGATTTTTATCTACACCCCCCTTATTTGCTCTTTACTTGCCAGAGCCTGGCTGACACTATTTTTGTCTTTGCCTGAGTCATATTTTAGTTTATTCCATGTCTTCTGCCTTGCTTTAGACAGAGCTATGCATTTAAAATAATTCTATTAATAGAATTCACAGTACAACTTGTAGTTGTATTGATTTCTATTCCTCTCTGTTGCCAATGTACTGGTAAAGTCCTTGCATTCTGATAATCTGCATTCTTCTCATTCATGCTAGATAACTGGAGAACCTTGTAAGAGAGGGAGGAATCTCCTTCCCAATCCACATATGTTTTATGATCATAACCCATGGTTTACAAGTTCGAGGAAGCATAATTAATATTGAATTATTTGCCAGAGAAAGACCAAATGAATAATAGAACAAATGCACAACTGACTATCTGTTTTTGTTAATATGGTGTGATGGGGACTTAAGAAAATTTATTAAAGCATTTATGCATAAATAGGAGATAGGAGGACCAGGATCTTCCATCTGTCATATCTACACAAAAGTAGTCCACTGCTCCTCACTCGTGTGGTTTCTTCTGACCTGCCAGTAAAGCAGCTTTGTTCTGTGTCCATAAGGTTTAGATGTGTGTTTTCTGCATGGATCATCTGTGGACTGTTGCGTGGAAAACAGGCAGAACTTACCTTTCTAACACTGTAACACCACGCAAGTTAAAGGACTAACAAACAGTAACTATAAACTATTCTTCAGGTGAATCAGCCCTATGGAAGAGTTGCAAACTGTCACACAAAACACATAGCTACCTCCTAGACAGTAGAAAAGTCTTGGCTATCTTTGTTCTTGTCTTTGTGAGTGAAATGAATGATGTGTGTAGGACAGGAGTTGCAAATGTGGTGGCCAGGTATATGCACTTTGAAAGGGAGGGTGAATAAAAGTGTGTAGTTTAAAGGATCTGAAATCTGCTTTTTACTGAACAAGACTAAGAATGGGTCACTCCATGGATACACAACGTCATTGGGAAATTCACATATTTTATTAGGGATTGTGCCTTTATTTTTGGCTATTATTAGTGTGAGATTTGAACTGGATTTCAGTTTACCAGTCTTCACTAAAGGGCTGCTTCTCCCATATAAGTTTTGTAAACAACTATAGTATACGGATTTGGCCTTGGTATTCTTAGCAGTTTCTTCATTTAAGGAACTTAATGAAAAAAGAAAATACTGTTCTTGGTTGTTCCACCTTAACAAGTGTCAGAGAGGGAGATTAAAATGCCCATTTCTAGAAGGTATCAGTGATACTGAGCAGTTCAAAACCAGCTGCGTGAAGGTTAATTTGCCATAGAATGTTTCGATGTGTATGAGGTATTTTTTCTCTTTTGCAAAGATTTGGAGGGGAAAGGTGTGCATGTGGGAATTGAAGCCTTTGATTGTTAAAAATAACCGAGTTTTCTTCCTTACTTCCATGATTCCTCAGTGTCCTGGGCAGTGGGATTCCTTGGTTTCACTGTGGTTGCCATAATAAGCAGGTGAAGGTTGCGCTGTGGAGAAGCACTCACTGGAGTTCTGGAATCCAAAGTCACAGAATCCATCTGGCTGGAAGAGAGCACAGTAGGTCCTCAGGTCCAATTTTCCTGCTCGAAGCAGGGTTATCATAGAGCACGTGGCACAGGATTGCGTTGAGGTGGTTCTTGAGTACCTCAAAGAATCACAGAATATTCTGAGTTGGAAGGGACCCACAAAGGTCATCATGTTCAGCTCTTAAGTGGACAGCCTGTACAAGGGATCAAACTTGTGACTTGGTCTTATTAGCACCATGCTCTAACCAGCTAACCTAATCTCACGCTCCAGTGAAGGAGATCCTACAACCTCTCTGGGCAATCTCTTCCAGTTTTCGTTCAGCTGCACAGTAAGGAAGTTCTTCCTCATGTTCAAGTGGAACTTCTGTGCATCAGTTTCTTCTGCCCCTTGGCCTCTTGTCCGATTTCCTGGCACCACCGAGCAGAGCCTGGCTCCGTCCTCTTGGCATCCACTCTTAAGTACTTGTATACCGGTGCGGATACCTCGGTCGGAGGGTGTGGGGCGGCAGGCGTGGCCGGCCCGGTGGATTCACGGGACTCGTCCAGCTGATCCTACAGCCGTGAGATCTTCCCATGCCGGGGCCGGCGCGGGCGCCGCTCCCCCCGCAGCGGCGGTGGCGGCGCTTGCGCGCGGGCGGGCGGGGCGCGGCGGGGCCGGTGACGCGCTGCGGTGCGGGCAGGTCCTGCCGCCGCGCATGAGGACGGCGGGGGCGCAGCGCGGAGCCGCCGCCGCCGCACGGCGCCCCAGCTTGAGCGCCGCGGGGTGAGTGGGGGGCTCCCCGCCCACCGCGAAGGTGAAGCCCCGCGGCCGGGCATCGCGGAGCGGGCCGCAGCGGGGCAGGGCGGGGGCCGGGGCTGGGGAGGGCGGGGCAGAGCAGGGCGGGGCTCCTTCCGTGCCGGCTCCCCGCCGCACCGGGCGCGTACCTGCTGGAGAGCGGCGGGGCTGCCTGGGCCGTGCGCTGCGCGCTCCCGCCGCGGAGATGGGCGCGGGCCCCACGGTAGGAGCGGTGCCTGTTTTCCGGGCCCGGCGGGGCCGGGTCCGCCCGCGGCGCGCGGTGCAGCCGCACGGAGGCCGGCGCTGGCCGCGGGGCGAGCTGCCCCCTCCGCGCCGCGCCTGCGGGGCCGCTGCCGGCCGGCCCTGCTGCCGCAAAGGCTGCAGGGGACCCCCGGCCCTGCCGGCCTCCGAGCGCTGCGGCTCTGTGCCCCGTGCCGCGCCGGAGGGCGAACCCAGCGCAGGCATTGCACGGAAAACACGGCGGTTGGCGTAACACTTGCCTCACGTACCGTGCGACTCGGCCTGCCCAACGTCTGCCTAACTTAACGCTCCGTTTGTAGGGGTTTGTTAACATTTGGCGTTTGGTTTTTCTTCGCCCTCCCCCCGCCCCCCCCCCTCCTTTTCGTGCCTCCTCTTGCAGTAGTGGAAATCTGGCATATCACGTATTTTTCTCTAGGTGTCAGTTCAGATGCTCGACAGGGAACGTCTGAGAAATAGGTTGCAGTATCGGGGTGGGGTGATGCTTTTCGTCAGTGTAAACTGTTTTCAGGCACTGAGCTTTGTCAGATGTTTAGGAATCCTGAGCTGGATGAACTGTTACTATAGGTACTTAGATACTTACAGCAGTAAGCTTTCTATAGTATATAGAGGCGGAGATTGAGTTCCTCTGTGTACCTGTGTAGTGTAAAAACACTATGAAACTTCTGTGTAGTCTTGTATGAATGTTGATTTTTATGCATTTGCTTTTCTATCATGAGGGAATTAACTCTCCAACGAGTGTATTCCCACAAATGCTGTTCGTTTAGAACATGTGTGCATGTTTATACATATATATATGTGCACTTTATCGGTATATACTATATAGGTATATATATTTCTTGAAAATCTTCCTTGTTTTGCAGGTAGCTTTCAGTGTGTATTTTGTATAATGCCGGGTGACTGGATGCTGCTAATGGGATAGCCCCACCTTCTGGTTAATACTTCAGTGAAATCATACTTGAGACTGAAGGGTTTTTCTGGAAATTATACCTCGTGCTATGCATTGTGAGTGCGGGTCTGTGTTGGAGTATCTTTTTATTTCTTATGTGGAGGAGTGGCAAGACAATCACTTTTTATGGAGATGTTTTTATTTACCATCAAAATAATTTTAACACATGGCTTCTGATGTTTTGGTTCACTACTGGGATTTTTTTTTAATGCCAGAATAAATTAAAGGAAACACGTCTTTATTTTAAGATTCAAAAGCGTATTTTTATTTTTTTCAGAAAGCAAGGAAATGATCCTAAACCCAGGAGCAGTCTTTGTGTGTGAAGTGACACCTGATCTATGTGTGGCATGATACCTGATCTCAGGCTTAACTTTCAGTTTAGGTGCTGGAGGTGACAGTGCTCATATTTTAGGTTTTGTGTTCAAGAAGTTCACAGATCGTCTCCTAAATACAAACTTTTGAACTTGAAAAATATTCAGTTTTCTTGGTAGAATACTTATATTGGTTAGCTTACTGCTGCTGGGAGCAAATTCCCTGAAATTATGTGTTAGAAGCTACAATTAAAAGTGAAAAAATTAGGAGAAAGGCTCCCTGAAGTCTTCTCGGTTTATAGGAGGACATTGCTATTTCACCTCATTTTTAGGTTTTTGTTTAGGAAAGATGTTCAGCTTGTCGCTCAACAACTTGTCAGCAATGTGTCTTATGATTAGAGACTTTTCAGTCTCTTTAAAATTTATGATGATACTCTGGTAGACATAGCTGGAGATCACCTGTTTTTTGGCTCTCTCTGTGTTATTTGAAACATCTCCTTGAATTCCTGTATCTGCGAGCTGCTTGCTCTTAGGAGATTGCTCCTGTGATATGAATTGCTAATGTCTAAAAGAACTGAATGCTGCTTGAGTCACCCTGACTCTGGAATATAACTGCAGTAATTGAAGTGTTGAAACTCCTTAAACAACTTAGAGGGGAAGTCAGTTTTCTTGGAGTGAGTGTGAGAATGCTCAACAGAGCAGCTGCTTGTGAGAGTGCGTAGGATTTATAATGGCAGTGTGTCTCTGAGTATGTTTTCAGGTCCTGACACAATCCACAGCTTAGTCCAATATCCTGTGCTAAGCATCAAGAAGATTATGAACTGTCCAGTGTGTCCTGGATACATGGATGATTCAGCATGGTTTACATTTGAAAATACAGTTTTGTAACAGTTAACTGTAGAAAGACTGGAAGTAGTGAGAACGAGGCGAGCATCCAAACATCCTTCCTCTCTTTTGCAACAGCTGCAGAGGAGACAGTCTTGAAACATTCAATACACTACAAGGCACATATACATTTTTACTACAACTTTTGTAAAACTTAATATTTATGAGAAACAGAATGTCCAGGGTTTTGCATATTGGACATAGGTAATACTGTTTTAATTGCTCCCAAGTATAATTCATAAGCAAAACAGTAAAATTTAAGGTTTTGAAAGTGAAAACAGTTGCTGAGAGTATTATGGGTTGTGGTGATTTGTTTCTGTACACTAATGGGGTTGAAGGCCTTGAAGTGTATTTGAATAGACAAATCTGCTGGAAAGCACCTCTGACATTTCCCACTGTATTAATGGAGCATTTCCAGGAGCTGGCTAAAGTTACAAGGTTTCCAGTTCTTGTTCAGTTTTTGGTGTAGGGAAATGCGTAGTTTCTGCTGTGGTTGGTCTTTTCCTTCTGGCTATTTTTATTGCTCCCCTCTCCCTCCCTGTGCCATTCACCTTCTACCTGATGAAAGGGTTATCCTAGTGGGGCAAGAAGTAGCTGACTTTTGCAGTATTTCTGTCAGCTTAAATCATGTCAGCTTTGAACATGATACCATGGGACCCTAGTGATAGCAAGTTTGTCATATCTTGAAGTAATCCTATACTTGCAATGCCAGTGACTTTCTAGGAGCTTCTTTCCAGGCAAGAAATTAAGTACTGGTTTTTATTTTGCTCTTTCCCCTGCCAATGTTTTCTTTCTTTTGTAATCATTATTGGATATTTACAGCTTTTTTGGCTACCTGTGTCAGACCTTCTTTTTACAGTTAAGTGGACTGGTGGTAATGGCTGCATGACATAGTTGGCAAACTGCTGTAAAGGACTTGGGTGCTTCAGTCTTCTGTGAAGCCTTATGTATGTCATTTTGAATGTCTGATTATATGTTGCAGTTTACCTAGTCACGTCAAAAAGTCAGCAGTTTGCTATAATGCAGCAGTGGGTGAGCTAATCAGCTGACTTTTGTTCTCTACTATAAATATTTATAGCAAATGGTGCAAGGGAAGGCATAGCTGATTTTCAGAAGTATTTTTTTCTTTGACTGGTAAAGGTTGTTAGTCTTTTCATTTTGTTTTGGATATAAAAATTAGACTCTCTTCCAACAAAAACTTCAGATTTTTTTTTTTCCTACTTAGAAGTGTTGGGTAGATTTAGTCATTAGATAAAGGACTATTTTCTACCATTTCTACATAAAGTCTTACAATTACATATGGAGGAACAGCATCTCTAGTTTTTCTACTAACTTGAATGAACTTCTTTTCATAGAAGAAATACTTCTAATGTACCTTTAGGAATATTATAATATTTTGATGGCACTAAAAGTTTTTTGTCTGATGCATGTTATAGTATTAGGAAGCAGTAACTGTTTAGTGTGTATTCAAAGCCATTCCATCCTATTTTAGAATTTAATTAAAAAATTAGCTGGCTCTGAAAATTGTCTCCCTCTGGAGTATTGACTAGGACTTTAATTCCTATGAAACTTCCACTAAGTAAGGTTTGTCATGGGGTAGGATGTTTTTTGTTTTCCAGTGCTTGTAAAAGGAAGTTCAGGAACTGGACTAGGAATAGTCAACTTCAGAAAACAAATTTTCACTACCACATCAGTTGTAATTATTTACGTATATGGTTCTGTTTACTAGGTTGTGGTTGAGTATGATGTAGTGTTTGCCAAATTGAAACTTAGTTGTGAAGCTTGAAAGATTTCCCCAGGTTTTCAATCATTAGAGTTTTAAGTAGGTTTATAGGTAACCAAAATAAACCCTAAAAAAAAAAAAGCATAAACAGTCAGTTTTTTAGAAAGATAATTGTGGAAGTTGTCGCTTGGGATGCTGAACTGGAAAATGATATGTCATGTGTGAAAGAGTAACAGATTAAATAGCTAGAGGTGCTACTTCAGGTATAATTGCTAAGCCTTTTGCAAAGGGACAGTCCTTCTTAAGAGAGGAGGAGATGGTGGAGGCAGCGCTGCTGTATCAGTATAAGTGGCCAGTTTTTACTGCTGTCCAAGGATGAGCATTCTACTGTCCTGGTGAATGTTTTTCTGTGTAATGTCAAGTAGTATATTGCTGTTTTCCATATTGTATGGGGTATTTGTGTGGTCTTGCCATATTTGGAATGCTGGTTGTCATGGTGGTTTGCTCTCTGCAAGCTTTTTGGGTAGGTTGCTTTTGGTACTGAGACAGTGGCTTTTGCTGTCACATGTTGCTGCTTATTCTAAATTTTGAACACAGACCCTATTCCTGCAAGTGTAAATTACTTAGGTAAATAGTTCCTGCAAACAATTTACATGTAAGTCAAAATGTAAACCATGAGTAATATTTTGGAATTAATATTGCCTACAGCATGAAGAGTGCAGTAGTCTTTTTACATGGATTTGTTTAAACAGACTCACAAGTACCTTGAAAAAGAATGTTTTTGACCTATGAACAGCTTCTGAGACTTTAGGGTATGTGAAATGAGATACTTTGAAAGGTCAGTTTGCTTCTGGTTTAATCTACATTGGACTAGGGGAACCCACTCACAGTAAAGAATTTCTTCCTAACATCTAACTTAAACCTTCCGTCTTACAGTTTAAAGTTATTGCTTCTTGTCCTATCACTACATGCCCTTCTAAAAAGTCCCTTTGCAGCTCTTTTGGAGGCCCCTCTAGGTACTGGAATGCTACTATAAGGTCTCCCCAGAGCCTTCTCATCTTCATGCTGAATAGTCCCAGTTCTCGTGGCTTATCTTCATAGGAGAGTTGTTCCATCACTCCAGTCATTTTTATTGTTCTGCTCTAGACTTGCTTCAGGAAGCCCACATCCCAGTTATGTTGGGAGCCCCAGAACTCAGATCAGTAAAATTTCCTCTGAATCCTGTTACAATCGCTGACCAGAATAATAACTGCCTTGAAGAGGCTGAGCGTGTTGGTATTCATCTAATACATGTATGTCAACTTAGTGTTAAGGAAGATGGTGTCCTTACAAGTCCTCTCTAGTCTAACAAGCACTCACAGCGATACCTAATAGTCACATTCAAATATGAGGTCTGAATGAAATGGTACAAGTTTGTTTCTTTAGCCACTGTTTTGAGCAAAATTGTTTTGTGATAGTGCTTGCCATTTTGTGCAGTAGTTTTGTGGTTAGAATATTTATCCAAGAAGTAGGAGACTGTGTTCCATGTTATTCTGATATGTTTTGGCAAATGGCAAAACTTTATGTGAAAGTTAACTGGAGGGGGTATACTCTTCCCTTTTGCATGAACCTTGCCAGTGTCAAAATTTCATAGCATTGAAAAGGTGGATCAGGAAGGAGATGAGTCAATGGCTCAGTGACACAGAATTCACCTTGGAGTGAGACAATTTTGTGCTTTTCTGAAGAGAAAGAAAAAGGTGAAAATTATATATAATTTCTTGCAGTCTAATAATTTGTTGTACTGTTGATAGCACTATTACAGTGAGTGCAGCTTTCTGATTTGGAACTTCACATGTCTGGAGAAATTTCCCATGAAGACGCTACCTGTTTCCACTGTGTAGGTGAGAGGATTCACAGGCAATGTGAAAAGGCAGAGGGAGATTACAGAGAATCGAGCATATACCAGCTTGGAGTTTTAACTAGTTAACACTCCTTTCTCTCCTCTGCTTCCCTTCAACTTGAGGTGCTTTTATTCAGTTATTGTTGTTGTTCCTTTAAAAGCAGAACTGATGCTAGTTTTTCCTCTGCTCAACTACCACTGGCAGACAAGTAGTATTAAATTTAAAATGTATATTTAAATTGAGACTCATTCACCTTGTGCCTTTATCTTTCTACCAATCCTTTATTCAAAATAAGGATAATAAGAGTTTTAAATTAGTTTGGAAGTTACTTCTTTGCATTACCTGGTAAAATGTTAGAGAAACTTCTTTACTTCAGTGTGCATAAACGTTCCACCACAACTCTCTGGATTGCTACTATGTGCATTTCTAAGTATTGTATTTTTTTCCCTGTTCCTTCTGCCTGGTGGTTGTTTTTTTTGTTTTGTTTTGTTTTGTTTTTTGATGGGGGGGATTGCTTTGTTTTGTTTTTTTTTTCAGAGGTTCTTGTAATTTTTCTCAGCTGCTCGACTTTTCCCCTTGACCTGGAGCATTAGTAAGCACTTCAGCACTCATTAAATAGTTTAGGGTGAATTTAGACAAACAAATTAAGGTCTTGCAGTTCAAGATAGTGCAGCTTAGTAGCTGGCTCCACTTGTACAGCAGTCCAGTACACTATAATATAGAGACAGTCTTGGCACTGGCAGACCGTTCATCATCTGTGTGACAGTGGGTCAACGCTGCAAGCAAAACAGACCTGGCTACTTGCATTCAAGAGGCTAATATTTTCCTCCCAGTAAGACCTGCAACCTGGTTCAAATAGTCCAGACTTTATAATTCATGAAATTGTGTGTATTGTGGTGGACACAGCTATTGTCTTGTAACTATTTATTTTCTTTAAAGGATTTCAAGATACTTTACACTTGAAGGGTACTTGGAGAAACCTAGGACACCTGTTAACTTGTATCAAGCTGGAATTCTGGTGAAAAGCTAAGCATTTGCTTCCTGGCTGCCGGGAGAAGATTCTGCTTTCAGGTAAATCTGGAAATAAACTTGCTTCTTGCTTCATCTGCTCTAGGCTTTTACCAATTGCAGCGTGGAATTTACCAGTAATTAGGTGCTGGACAATGACGATTTTTGAGAGGTTTTACACATTTCTTTGGGGGGAAGGGGATGGGGAGCAGCGCTGTGTGTGTAGTTGACTGAGTTTACTGCCTGTGTTTCCCAAAAGAAAAGTGCTTTATCATATTCATTCTTAGCACCCATATCTTTGAACATCCATTTTCCCCTTTGCTCTGTCTTCTACCTTTAAACTAACCACTGTGCTCTTGGAGGATACTGTTTGTTGTCATAGTGGGAGTATTTGTCATTCATACTAGATCTCAAATGGGTACTGATGTTCAGTTAATGGTCCTGTAGACTGCAACCTTGGAGGCACCATTTGAGGAAGTGTTGTGCCCTGAGGACACTACGTCCTTAAATGGATAGGAAAATTGAGTTCTTAGCATGATATGGTTTCTGTCCAGGAAATATATTCAGGTCTTGCTTAAATAAGAACACCAAATACTCCATGTTTATCACTGTGTCTCTAGTCTTAGTTACTCTATAGACTCTATGAAATGGTAGTCAGAAGTAAGTATGTTGTTCTATCTCATAACATTGTCAAGGAAGTTTAAAAAAGTGTATTTACTGGCTTCAGCAAAAACTTCACTTGATAAAATTCCATCATGGACAGGGAAAGAATGTCTATTAAATGACTGATACAAATTTCTGTTCTATTATAATCAGACTTTCTGAGCTTTGGTAAGACTGAATTATAATGCAGAATTATACTCCATACTTACAATGCAATAGTTTATTTTAAAAGCTGGATCAAATATTTTGAAGAGAGAAGAGCTTGTGACAGTGTGGAGAAATGTAATTAATGTCAATTAACTTCTTTAGCATTTCTAGCATAGAGACATTTCGGTATGGTGGTAGCATTTCATCATTAAAGAACAAAAGATGTTGACAATATGTAGTTGTTTGATATCTTCCAGGTTATCAGAGATGGCAATTTGAAGAATCATCTTTCCGATATGAACAAAGTAAAAACAACATCTGAAAAAAGGTAAATTTAAAAAAACTATAGTGACCTCTCTACATCAAGCTATATGAGCTTTTTGAAAAAAACAGTCTTTATCTTAGTAATAAGATAAATAAAATATGTGAAGCTGAGACTAGTGTTGGAGAAACTTCTATTATTATTAGTCCCTTGGAAGACTGTGTAAGTTGATGTCCTGAAACACTGAAGGAGTCAATACTGGTAGCGTAAAGTAGCTTCACTAATAAATAACGTTTTAAGTTTAAATTTTCAGTTAATGTTAGGTATGTTCAAATATAAAGTAGACATTAAATTTAATTGAAAAATATGTTAATAATTTCACTGCACATATTGGTAAAGCATAAAATGAGCTCTACTGAAGGAATTAAAGAACAAGTTTATAATACTGTGTAAGAAACCATGACTTTGTCAGAAAATGTGTATCGTTCTGCAACAATCCTGCAAGCCAACACATAGAAAGAACAAACAAGGGTGGGCTTATAGAAGATGTCGAGTTGAAAAATTGTTGTTTTAGCAAGTTTTTGAGAAGTTTATGAGATTATTTCTGGAAGGCCGCTAAGCATCAGGAAACTATTGATAGGCTTTCAGTCTTTTTCTTAAAATAGCAAAGGTTATACCACCTTGTTAAACCATCTAATCAGATTAAAAAATTATGTACAGGCGGCAAAATATGGAATTTTGGCTTCAGTCTTAGTTCTCTGAAGTACCCATTATTTTCTAAGTGAGTGGGTGAATTTGCATTAAGAACCTGCTCTACTGTGCATTAGTTTTGCATCTTGGAATCTATTTAAAATTTAAATTTAAATTCTTGTGTGTAGTATCATCTTTGCTTTTGCTGACTAGAACTGGAATGGCTCGATACCAGAGACTGGTTGTTCCTGTTTGTGTGAGGGGTGGATCAAAAGAAACAGTAAAGAAACAATTATGTTTTCTCCTTATGGTATATTAGCTTCTTAGACATTATGATAAGGAAAGCAAACTCTGTTAGCAATGAGTATTCTTGAAAATACCTCAAATTATAATGCATGAAATATACTGTCACAAAGAATATTAGGTTTTTGCGGAGTGACCACTTAAGTGGTATTTATTCTTCCTCAGTTATAGATAAAATAAACGTTTCCATCCCTGCAATTCAAAACAGTTGTTCCCTAAGTCTTCAATAAGTTATGGTGACTCTGTGTACAGAGTCTTAACTAATAAAAAGTATTAGCTCTCTACAGATTAGTTGGTAACTGTGGGAAGTGGTTGAGAAAAAAGAATAGTTTGAAATTATTTGCATTGGAAGAAAATCAGAACAAACTCATGAAAAACCTACCTATTTTAAAATAGGTTTTTAAGGGCTCACTGGAACATACCCAAATACAGACCTGTTTGCTGTGGGGGAAGAAGAAAATCCCTTACACATCAGTGTGCTGGCTGACTGCAAACAGCAGTTTCAGAGGAAGTAGGTACAGTTGGGAAACTGATGACATCCTTCATTTGACTATTATATTTTGTAAGGCTTCTTGCAAGATGAATAGCTGAAAACCATGCTAAGATAAGGGAATTTTTATAAGCTGCCTTGGCAGTCATTAGAATTATTTTTCTCATTTTGAGTAGACACCCAGAAAGCTATGATGATGTGTTCTAGCATTTGTGTAGTGAAAGTGGCATGCAGTGAGTAATGGAGAATTGTGAATCTAGCATTTCTTCATAATCAGAGTTAGAATGCTTAAGTCTTTTGGGAGTGGAAAAAACATCCCTGCAGTGAGGGATCTTTCTTTGAGAAAATTTTTTCTTGTTGAGGGAGTTCTCTTTCAAATGTGAGCCTCTGGAGTCCTCTGTTCTCACTATCTGGGCATGCATCCTTTATACCTACTTGTAGCTTTCCTAACCGGAGAAGGAGGAAGTCCACAAATCTTTGGTTTCCTCAAGTAATGCTGTAAGCTTTGGCAGCAGTTGAAATGATGGCAAGGGTGCTCAGTGCTTCCCTTCTGCAAGGTGAGTGCTGGTGTGAGGGGCACTTTGAGCTGCAGCATTTGAATGTGGGATGAAGGAAGAGTTTCCTGCCTATGGAGACATGAGCTCTACAGGATCAAATAAAACTGGTAAACTTTTACCTCAAGATACTTCAAGAAAGTCTAAATCCATCCCAGAATAATAATTATTGGTTGTCTTCGGACAGAGTAAAGCAGTGACTGGCTACTAGACTAGTGGTAGTTGATGGCTGTCAGAAGTTTATTTTTGCATGTGCTCTTTCTTTCTGCTTACAGCTAATGATTGGAAACATTCTGGGTTTTGACTAAAGATCTGTAACAAAAGGAAGTTCTTGTTAAAAATGCAGACACCTTGAAACTGTAAAGATCAGTAAAACTACTGGAGGACTGAATAATTTCAAAATACTCTTATGAAATGCAGAAAATGGTTAGGAATATTTAATGGAAATATGTGCAAGATACTGTGCTTAGAGAGTTGTATGACTGGAACAGGTAAAGGACAGTCACATTTGTAGTAAGACGTGCCAGAAATATTAAGATTAAACTTCAGGGAGAAAAACTTTGAAATGAAGGGATACAAAGCATTAGAATGAAATTGTCTTTGGTTATTGAGTAATCATTTTTGTAGGTCATTATGGTTTGGCATATGTATGCCATGAAGAGCAGCTGTGGTGTTTATCCAACTCTGAAAAGAATAGTATTTATGGTGTTATGAAGTTTCTTCTGGTGCTTCTTAGTCAGGATTTTTTAAGAACTAAAGATTATAGAGACTGTAGGTAACTCTCAGTGGTTACAGAGTGCTCTTGTGAGAAGGCTTTAGTATGGGTGAAGTGAAAAATGCCACTTCTGATAACAAGAAGGGTTATTCATATTCTGGGAAAACTAGTTTCATCTTGTCTCCTCTGCCCTCCATATCAGTGACAAACTCAGGCACTCACGGCAGCTGGAGACCTGGATAGCCTGCACATTGGTGTGCAAGATCCATTTGGGTCATCATATTCCTTCTGGCAGTGGCTTTTGACTGAGTTGAAATCATAGTTAGTCCTCTTCTAGTTTGATGGATGATGACTCCAATATATATTGGATTCTCCAATCAGAATGCTTGTGACTGGTCTATACTATTTGACCCTAGGTTTCCCATGGCAGAGTCTCAGATGTCTCATTTCCCAAAGCAATTTATTCATGGTTGGAGCCCCTGGTGGTCTAGTGGTAAGGGCGCGGCGCTATGACTGCCGAGACCCGGGTTCGATTCCCGGTCAGGGCCACTCCCGGGCAGGTGGGGCTCGTTAGCCCTTAAAGGCAACCCACCTACGTCCTGAGGACCTCACTGCCACCGTCCAAGCTCGCTTGGCCCCGGCAGATGAACCTTAGGATTAAAGGGTGGGCTCAGTTCCGCGCACACTGTGTCTCACCTAAAAAAATCCAATGTGCAGGCTGGAAGGTGTAAAGACCTTCCCCGGATCTTCGCTCGCGAAGACTGGCCATTATTATTCATGGTACAGCAGCACAGAAACAACTCAAGCTAGTGCCTCCAAGGAGGGACCTTGAGCTAAGGAACCCCTCAGTCCAAGTGCAGGAAAGTTTTGGCTCTTCCTCCTGAGTCTTTGTCTCCTGCTGTGTCTGTCATTGTCAGGTCACCCTGAAAGTCAAGACACAGTCTTCAGGGTATTTGTGCGAGGTTCTGCAGTGTCAGCAGCTTGAGAAAAAGCATAGCTCTGACAAGACACTTTTTTTATTGTGCCATTCTGACTGTTTTCTTGCTGTTAAAAATATTGGATTCCATGGTGCCCCTCTGTTTTGGAGAACTGTCTTCTAGATTGGGATCCTGAATGGTTTGTTGGTCAAAACATAGTATTTGCATTACAGATATGAGGAAGACTCTCATTACAAATTAGGCTTTCGTTTTGTTCTTAGGTCAAGTAGTTTGTCACAGCAGTATTACTGATTCTGCTCCTGTATGTCTGGCTGGCTGCCATAATTCCTATCCTACAGACTTTTTGATTTACTCTGCAGACATCGAAAACTGTCATAGTTTTATAACTACTGTGTATATTAGTGTAGAGTATTAATAAATAAGAGTACCAGGCACAGTTTAAGATGAAAACTCAGTCATAACTAAGAGGATATCAAGACTTTAATGTATATTTCAGTGTCAGGTGGTGTTAGTTTCAAGGACGCATTACTGGGTATGGTGAAGACATGAAGTTTACTTGGCTATATTTATGTTGGAAGACTTCGTGCAGGATGAATAGCCAAAAACCATTCCAAAGATGTCTCTGCTGCAATGAGCACTTATTGCTTTTGATAGAAGCTGTGTCCCAAGGAGGAGATTGTAACTCTAAATCTTAAAACTTAAATTGTTATATTACCCAGTACTGAGAATGACTTATCCCACCTAACCGTCTTAAAGCTTTTAATAAGTATGGAGAAACTATGTTAGCTGCCAACTTTTTGTACGTGGTAAATTGCTTACAGGCACCAGTGTTGCTTGAATTTTGCAGTCTGTAGCAGTCAAAAATGTGGTTTGCTTTGACATTCTAATGCCTGCACATGAGTTTTACCTTTGCAAAAACTTTTTTTTCCCCCATTTTTTTTTAATTTATTCTTTATTTTTTCTAAGGATCAGCTTTGCTTTCTTGACTTGTTTTCAGCTTTCAAACTACATTTATTTCATGGTAAGACCAATGATATACCACAATGGAAATTATACATATACGCACACATACTGAAGTTGAAGCAACAGTTCTCGTACACATAGGCTTATATGTTGTTTGACTGGACTATTACTTGTTTTGACTGTGGAGCTGGTGAAGATAACACCTTGTTTGTCAGTTTGTGTACTGGATCAACAGAGTTTGTGGATTTCATTAAAATATTGGGTTAATTTTTGAACATTTCAAATGGATAAATGGAGGAGGAGAAATAAACAAAACAAAGCTTACGCAAATAAAGATACCATTATAACTCAGCCTGCTTTTGGATGATGAGAAAGTATTGGAGTGATTATGCTTTACTTAAACAAGGAAATTAATGTTTCAGCACCCAAGACAGATTTATTTTAGATTAAAAAAATACTCTGAAATCAAAGTCTAGCAAATAACTGAGAAGGTGATATGCTTACTTCACAATATAAAATTGCTTTGATTTAAGTCTTAATATAACCATTTCTTATTTTTGTTGTTAACTGCTGGTAAGTATCATCTGTAGTCTGAAATAGATTTTGGCTATGTTTCTCATTTAGATGTCAGTATGGAAAAATGAAAGTGAAAGGAGTTTCCTAAGCAGCTCTTATATCAATTTGATTTCTTGACAGTTTAACCTTTGCCCTAAGTTACCATACTCCCTTGATTTTAACATTTTAGTAGAGTTATTGTAAGTGTGAAACCTTTACACCAATGTAAAATACAAATCAAGGAGTAATAATTACTCATTGTTTTAAACAAAACTGACAGTGTTTGTAAAGGTAATGTTGTAGACTTTGGTTTTATTGTAGGGAGTCAGATCAATGTGGATATAAAATGAATTATTGTTGATTATTGTGGGACCCTAAAGTTACACAAGTGGAAAGTCAATGTAGTTAATTCTTGGAAGTCATAATTTCCTGTAGTTAATTGCATGACTATAATTAAAATGCTAAACAGTTGTCTAAAAATTACTTTCATGTAGGAATGTGAATCTCTAAACTCTTCTAAATAATTGTTATGCTGTTAAACTAGAGAGCAAATAAAACAGTTTCTCGGCTGACTCTGTTTAGAATTACGGTCATTTTTTCTTAGGAATTACCTGCCTATATGAATGGCTGGTTTGAAATCATGTCTTCTGTTAAAATACATTTTTAAGGCAATTTTTTGTTGGCAGGCCAAAATATCCTTGTGTTCAAAATGAATCCAAACCCTGATGATAACTTTGGAAACTTTCCAAAGCTTTTTCATTCAAAATGGTGTTCTTTTTCTTCAGCTGGTGGGTGCTAGTTTGCTCATTTCATGACTGATAATCTTTTCTCCCGCTTCAAAATGCCAGCCTATGGTACAGTCTTTGGGATTGTTTGTAGCCAGTTTTTCCTTGAATGGCAGGTTTGATACAGTATCCTGTCACTTAATGCAAATTATTAAATATAAGTTAACTCTGAGTGACATATATAAACAACATCTGTACCTATATTTGCATTTTACTTGCTGCAAATGATTTTTCTGTTCACGGTTGCTCTTGGAGATGCTGTTACATATAATTAGTCTGCTGCAATTCGGACTTTTCAAAATCTGTAAATATGCCAGAATTAAGGAGAATTAAGACCGTTTTACAGTCAAAATAAACTAGGAAGGTGAATTAGCCACTGCCATTACTCTGAGATTGAGTTTCTATTAGTGTATTTTTTTACTCTGATCTAGATGGAAAAGATAATATAAAAAATCCTTCTTGTAGCGTATCTGCCAATTCTCGGACTATGTCCCTGCTGTCACAGCTGGAGAAGATCAATTTGGACTCTGTATTAGGAGAATCAGACAGTGCCAGATATGTTACCTCCAAGATCCTTCATCTGGTTCAGAGTCAAGGTAATTATCTAAGTTTTGTGATTTTAGTAGTTTCCATTTTCAGCATTCCTTATTGTGTATCATCCTTGCTGGACTTGAATTTTTGTTTTTGTTTAGTGAACTTGACTATCTATCTGTTTTTTTCACTGTTGAAAGCATCTGTTTAAGTCCATGTTTAATACTATCTGTTATAGTATTGGTTACATCGAGTTAATTTTGTGTTGTCAAACAGCTGTAATTTAAGTAATAATTCACTTGATATATGTATGTGTGTATATATGTATATCTATGAGAAGTAGGAGTATCTGGAAGGGAGCTTTCTTACTGATATTTTTCTTTACAGTCTTTTTTTTCTTAGGACATGACAAGATTGTTCAACAAGCTGAAAGCAAAAATGAGTTTTAAAATTGCTTGAGTTTTTTATTTAGTTTTATATATATATACATGCAGTTTTTAATAGGTTTTATTATTTGCAGTGTAGATATTCTGATCATTTTGTAGATGATCACATGTTTTATTTCTGCAAGCTAGTATTAGTCTTTTTCTCGCTGATAGAAAAAACCAGGAAGGAGATGACTTCTAAGGGCTCCACTGCAATAGAAGTTATCCTGGCAACCCTAGAGGTAAAATCTTTTAATCTCTGTGGCTATGGGTGCATATGTTTAAATATTCTGAGAAATTTTTTGTCACCTATTAGTTCAAATTGTTGTGTCATATTACAGAGTAGTTTTTAATTGGTTTTGTGGTTAGGTGCATAGTGGGATGTTTAGCTGGGTGTTTGTACATCCTAAGTTCTACTTGATTTGGTGGTGGCAATTTCTTCTAGCTTTAAGTATCTAAACCATTATATTAGACTGCTGTGTTAAGCAAATGTCTCTCTCTCTTTTGTTGCAGAATACAAAAGATCCTCAAACTATTCTAAATATATTGAATATTCTCATTGAGGTAATCTCAGTTGGTAAGTTTTCCTTAAGGGGTCATATATGATTATATTCATACATTATTCTTCAGGCATTTTTTTGTTTGTTTTGGTTGGTTATTTTTATTGGGTTTGGGTTTTTTTTATGAGGCTTTTTATTATTATTGTTTTGGGGTTTTGTTTATTGGCATTTGCTAAGGTGAATTGATATGCAGAATTAAAAGAGCATAAAGACTGAAGTCACCTTGCAAATAATCCTACACAAATAATTTTTATTGCAGGAAGTTCAAGTCCAGCATGTCCTTGCATAGTGCAGTCACATATGAAGAAAATATTGCTGTTCTAAATACTTATGATAACTGCATCTTAGATATTTAATTGCTCTTTGGCTTTAGAGATATCAGCTCAATTTTAATTTCTAGGTGGCGGTCGGAGAGCAAGTGTCTTAGTTACCAAAGGAGGGACACAGATCTTATTACAGCTACTTTTGACTGCCAGCAAAGACTCTCCACCAAATGAAGAATTAATGGTGCTTCTTCATACTCTTCTTGCAAAAATTGGCCCAAAAGGTGATATTATAGCATAAGACATTAACGTTTTATAATTGAAACTTAAAAAAAGTTTCTTCCTATTGTGTAAGCATGTATGTACTCAGAATTGATAGAGGAGAACAAAAGGAGGAGTGAGATGGGGGAGGATGAGTGGTGGACAGTAGATATGCAGAGCTGACATCTACTTCTATCAGTAGAAGAAATTCAGCCATTTAACTTCTATTTTTTAATAATAATTTCAAAATTATTGTGATTGATCTTGTATTTCTTTGACATCAGACAAAAAGATTGGCATGAAAGCAAGAATAAATGGTGTCCTAAACATACCATTGAATTTAGTGAAGCAGAATTTGCAGAACCACAGGCTAATATTACCATGTCTTCAAGTGTTAAGAGTTTACTCAACCAACTGTAAGTATTGCAGACAATGATTTTATTCTCTGTGTAATATAAAGTTTTTTACCTAGATAAGATTAAAATATCAGATTTGGATGCTTGTTTAATATTAAGTGTTTAAAATACTTTCTTTCTGAGAATTTGCTTTTTATGTCCTAAAATTGCTTACATTCTAGAAAAAACTGGGTTCTTTTAAACAGTCTTATGGGATGTTTGGAATTTTGAGCTATCTATTGTGCATAAATGTTGTTGTCTAAACATGTGAACCAGAAATGCTAACGTTGTGCTTGCAAAAGCACTTAGAATTAAATAATTATTCTCCTTATTGTTCATGCTCATGTTTTTAATTTATTTTTTATTTTATTTCTTTATTGCTAATTTAACACTTGGTTCACACAGGAAATATTTTATTTCTTAATTTAACCTTTTCCTTAATCCTTGTGTACAAGTGCTCTACTGTTGGGGTAATATTCTTCCACAAGACCCTAATTGTTTGGACAGGCAGTAGGAAGTTGATGAAAATAGTATGGTTCTTGCTGTATTTCTGCTGTCAGTTAGATGCACTTAAGTTTTCCCTTTGAGCTCAAAAGGGTCATTAAACTTCTTAAATAAGTGCAAGAAATGGAAAACATGGCCATGTTTGCCCCAGAGAACTGATTTGATGATCTTTAAGATTATGTTTTCAGGACAGACATTGAGCAGCTATAATTCATAAACCTTAATACTTTCAAAATGGGAAAGCTTTATTTCTTTTGAGCTGACTGATAATGATGTAAAGTGCTTCCAAATTGAGAAATTTAATACAGATAGTTACATTAGTTACACTGCTTAGCTGAAAACTTGCTTCATCCTGAAAATGCGATATTGAACTGTCTCCAGTTTAGCTTCTGCTAAGATCACTTCTGTATTTCTGTATTTCCCACTCCTTAGAAACATAAAAAGCAGTGGTTCATAACATTCTGATGTGTAGAACTGTTTAAAGTTTTGAGTACAGTTACTATTAGATTAAGTCCTAACTTTTCTTGGATTCTGGTGTAATGTTGCTGCTAATGATGATGAAATTGCAACTGGGGCTCACATACTAAGTTCTACACTAATAACAGCATGTTACGTTGAAGTCTTAGCAGCTGTCTTCCTACTTTGTCAAGAGCACATATTGCTAAACTCAGTCAGGAATTGTGCCTGTTTCAGCAGTTTGTATTTTCAGTGGCTGTTGGACTTCAGCCAGGTATACTTTCAGTGCACATTTCTTGAACTTAATAAGGCTTAGCATAATTTCTTTTCATTTGCTGCCTTTCAAATGGGTTACTGTTATAATATTTTTTCTGGGAACATATGCTCATAACGTGTAGTTCAGGAAAGCTTATACCAATTGGCATTTTCAAATTTTATACCAGACTCTTGGCTTTCAAATCCTGGTGAATATACCTGTCTACCTAATACTGAATTATAGTAGCAAGTCATATAACCTATTAGACTTGAAATTTTAGAAAGCCTGTTGTTTTGATAAACTGAATTAAGAAAATTCTTTTTAAAATGCATTTTAATTACAAAGAAAGCAGAAGCCTGTGTTGGAAGTAGTACTTGATTTTATTTGTAAAGTAATAATTATGTTCTTTTTCTTTTTCAAGTAATATCAAGATTGGATTGTCATCTGATTATGTGTGGTGTGTCTACCTGTCATTGTAGGTCTTAAACCACAAACATATCTAGCATTTTTTGTACTTCAAAATTAACTTGAGTATATTGATTTTTTTTTCTTTTGCCTTTCCTACTACATTATCTTAAAATGGATTGCTTTTAACTCTTCCAGCTGTAAATGCAGTATCTTTGGGAAAGAATGGAGTAGTAGAACTGATGTTTAAGATCATTGGCCCTTTTAGTAAAAAGAACACTAGCCTTATGAAGTAAGTAAGGTCTCTTTAATATAATATATGGTAAAACCTTGTATATGTTTCAAAACTTACTTGTAAATTAAAATTAGTATTAGACAAATCAAACTCAATTATGTTTGACTAATAAATGTTAACAAAGTGAAGGGAGATGGGAAGTTCAATTTTACCCAGTAGAGTAACACAAAATATTGTAATGTCTGTTTGCAGTACTAGTAAAATAACTATTATTTTTTTGTCTCTAATATTCCTGCATGGAAACTCTACAGTGATTATCCCCAAATTATGACAAATAGATCAAGACAATCCCATCATTTTTTTTATTTGTTTAATTGGCTTCTGCATGTACTTTGTACTTTTAGTGTGGCACTATCCCTTTTATTTGGTAATAAAATTTTCCTTCTGTTTTACTTCAAATCAATTATAGACTTTCAGAGCAAGAATGTAAAATATAGAGTAGGAAGCCCCAGCAATATTTGTCTAGTGGGTCATTGTGCCGTTGTGTTTAAAAAAACATAAAATTCACTGTGTAGCTGAAAGTGATGACTTTAGATTCTCATCCCCATGGTGGTTGATAGGTTTTGTGGCTGTTTTGGATTGTTTGGGGTTCTTTTTGGGTTTTGTTTTGGGATTTTTTTTTTTAGTGAATTTAGGGTAAAAATTAGCTAAGTGGATCTAATTGAAGATAGCCCTTCTTTATACACTTCACTTTTTTGAAGTACCTGCCTGTGGCAAACTAAATTTTTCATCTGGTTAGCAAAATTATAATCTTGTACTGTACATATTCTAACTTCAGTACAAAAACATTAGTGTTAAGTTATCAAAATCTGGTATTTGTGGTCACAGGAGTATCTTTCAAAAAAAAAAAAAAAATCCTCTGCTCCTTTAAGCCCCAGCCTAAAATTAGGCATAGGAACTTACTTTTCTATGATGTGAGTAATCATGATATCCTTGTTTATGATCTAAGATCATATATATGAAGTCTATCTTCACAAAGAGGGGAAAAATAAGTGTATATGTTTTCTAGCTGTGCTGTTTGAGTTAATTGAAAAAATGTCTTTGTGTACAAGAAAAATCTCACACCGACCATCATGTATGGTAGTACAGATTGATGGGTGTTGCTCCTCAGTATATTAATATACCACCAATATTCACCTACAGTTTTTGAAAATAATGTCCTTTACTTTGTGGAAGTACTTGTTCTGCTGCTAACAAAACCATGAATTTCAGAACTGTCACAATCACTGAGTGTTGGTCATAAACTTTACATAGTCGCAATGTTTTTGCAAAAGCTGGAAGTTTGGATAGCCATTGCATTGATATTTATGAAGTTTTTCCATCAGACTTCAGATATAGCAGAGATATGTGATTGTCGTGGTTTTGCCCTGGCTCAATTTACTTTTACACCCCCCATACAATTGCTATCAGTTGAGAGAAGGTTTATGCAGACAAAAAGAGACTGAATTGGAAAAAAAGTATGAGTATTTATTATTAACAAGCTAAAACTAAAGAATTATATCTACAATAATTCTACTTAAGTAAAAAGTATTATGTATTTACAGAAGATACTTCTCCCCCCACCTCCCTTTATATCAGTCCAAGGAGGAGAAGCAGTCCTTTTCTGTTCTTGGAATTCCAGCTCTCTCTCTCTCCAGTAACTCTGCAGCACTTTCGTCGCAGCTGGAACTTCTTTATTTCTCTCTCATTCTGTGTTGGCCTCAGGGCTGGGTCTACCCCCTCCTCGGCTAAAACCGAAGGCTGGGGGTTACCCAGGTCCTGAAGGGTTTCCTTCCATAGGCTTGCAAGGGGACACTTGCTTACTATGGATCTTCTTCCACAGGGTTGACTCTTAATGGTTTAAGAGTTCACCCCTGTTTCCCTATGGAGGTCCCTCCCCATGGGAGAACAGTCTTTGATTGACTTCTCGGCATGGGTCTAGTCTGGATCTCTTACTCAGATCCCAATATCCCACCTGAGCCATTTTCTGCTCCAGCGTAGGTTCTCTCATTCCCCTCAGGGTCATAAATCTTCAACATCCCTACCCGAGCCGTTTCCTGCTCCAGCGTAGGTTCTCTCAGGGTCACAAATCTCTAGCACCAGCAGCATGGATCCCACACATGGATCCCAACATCCCTACCCAAACCGTTTTCTGTTCCAGCGTAGGTCCTAATTCTCGTCAGGGTCATAAATCTTCAACAGCAGCAGCATGGATCTCTTACTGAGATCCCAAGCTTATCTGAGCCATCTCGTTCCAGCATAAGCATCATCCCCTTCGAGGGTCACAAAGTCTTTAACAGGACTCTGCCTCATCTGAGCCGCTTTTACTCCAGCATAAGGCTTTCTCTCTGTTAAAGTCACAAATCTCTGGTGCATCCACAAGCTCCTCTGTGAGCCGCATGGGGGGTCTTTTCACCCCAACAAACTTTTACAAGTGGCAGGGTTTTATTTTTCAGTCTTTACCCTGCTGAAGGGAGGGGGAGCGAAAGGGAGAAAAAAAGCAGCTCTCCCCCCTTTGAACTTTTCTTCTCTCTCCTGTTGCAGCTTCAGCTGCCAGCTTCGACCTTGGAAGTCCTGTTATCTCATGGCTGGAATTCTTCTGCAGCGGTTTCTCGTCTAAGCAGTTCGTCTTTTAAACCTTTTTTTTCTTCACTCTCTCACAAGAGAGAAGGGAGGCTTCAGTGCTGCACCTGCCCCCCCCGGCCCAAGCTGGGGAGGAGGGGGCCTTGGCCCTCCTCGGGCCCGCTACCCTTCTACATGGCTGCTGTTCCTAATTTCAACTGCACCACAACTTTCTCTTCCGTTTTCTTAAAGATGTAATTAGCAAAGGCGTCACTGAACTTTTTGATTGTTTTTTTTGTCCGGAAATCACCTGGACAAAACCATCCTCAGCCCCAGGGATGGGCTGGTGGGCAAAACCACGACAGTGATCTCTTAGTAAAATCAAATTTTAGAAGTGAAGTCTGTGATACAATGCAACCAGGAAGACTTGAGGTTAGACTTTATATGTCTTGTTAGCAGTAAGTATCTCGTCTGGTTTTATAGTATTGTAGATTAAGCATACTGGTTGTTTGCTGTTTTGACTTTTCTTGTTATATTGACAGGGTTGCTTTAGACACACTTGCTGCATTGCTAAAATCAAGTAAGTGTTTGACAACAAGAAATTGTTTGTCTGCTTGAGCTATATATATGTGTGCGTGTGTGTGTGTGTGTATAGACAGAGTAAAATTAACATTAAGTCTGTGACCTAAACAAAATCAAAGTGAGGAAAGCTAGAAATAAGGTACAGTTTTATCTACAGTCTCTGGTGCTTTATTTATGTTGTATATAGCTATATGTTTAATAATTAGTTACTGTTTCTTCAGTTATGCAGCAGAAGGGCTGCACTGCTTCTGCAGAACTGATCTGGATCTGAAGTGCCTTTTAGATTCACTCACTTCTCAGAATGTCTGTAACTTAACTCCTGTGCATCATTTATATATATATATATATGAAAATATCTGTTGATGTCAGGGGGAAATGTAGGTATTCTTAAGTAATTCTTCTGAGTAATTAGGACTAGGGTCCTAATGAGAAGTCTGTCAGTGACGCTCATGAAGTGGAATTAAGGGTAACAAAACAATGGCCAGTTTCCAGGCATGGACTATCTGATCTAGCAGCAAGAAACAAATGTTGTCTCTGTGGATTTTGAACCAGGATTGTAACTAGCAGGGAATTAAAAATTAATTTTCTCCGAACAGTTGTATTAAAGCTGCAGCATTCCTAGTAGTTCCAGTGGAGTTGTGAAAGAACTGAGGCGTGATTAGATTTGCAGAAAACTATTTCAGACAAATGACAGGAAATTTTGGTACTGACTGTCACGATACTCTGAGTTTACTTATGTTTGTTCAGTGTGATACCTTGGTCCTCTGATTTGTGTATTTTAAAATGTTGCAATTTCTCCTTGGCAAATCCAGGGAAAGAAGTATTTCTCTATCATTGTCAGTGTTCTATTCTGTAAATTGGCAGTTAAACTTTAATACTGGAGAGAGAAATAAAGTGTTGAAAAGGTCTTTGAAAACAGGAGATCTTGTGCATTTATTTAGGGATTTTTTTTTCTCTTTAGAGGTTTTGACATTATAACTTCTTACACTTTATATAAGTAAATCTCTTCACAAAAACACTAATCTATGATGTGTATAGTGCAGTTGTCATACTGATTACCCAGTATTTGGGGTAGAGGTATTATAAGTTTATCAAATTTGAGTGATAGTTGCTGCAACACTGTATGGATTGCAAGTGAAAAGAAGTCTGTTTAAAATATTTTGTCTACACAGTGTGTGTGGATAGATATGCTTTGTAGAATTTTTTCTTTTTTTAAATTTGCTGGGTGACATCATCTTACCATTACCTTTATGTGTAATGCACACTGTTTTTCTGGTGAACCATGAAAATTACGTGCAATATTATTTTAAGAATGAGATTTAGACTACTGGTCTCAATTTTTCAGTCATTTCTGTTTAGGTTGATGTAAGACTCTGCTAAATGTGGCTAAAACACTACTTAAAATGAAACAACTCACTTGGGTAAAAAGAGGAATTTAAACATTAAATTGAAAGTAATACTGAAGTAATTTGGTCAATTTCTAATTTTCTTTCCTAACTTTTTTTTCAAAGAAACAAATGCCAGGAGAGCGGTAGACAGAGGATATGTGCAGGTGCTTTTAACGATATATGTTGATTGGCATCGTCATGATAGTCGTCACAGATACATGCTGATACGTAAAGGAGTTTTGCAGTGCATTAAAAGTGTTACAAACATCAAACTGGGAAGAAAAGCATTCATTGATGCCAATGGGATGAAAATTCTTTACAACACTTCACAAGTAAGTGTATCATGGTTGGTTTTTTTATATTGCTGTTTTTTCTCTAGCTTTAAAAAGATTTCAACCTCGAGTTCATCATGTTTCTTTTATGAGATTCATGATCGGTCCTGATTATGGAAGTAAGCATTATTTTCTGTACCAGCCTGAAACAGAATGAAAGAGTACCTAATTAAATTAGTATTTGCTGTTATTTTGCTGTGGCTGTCTCTGGAAGGAATGGTTGAACTTAATTTAAAAAAAGATGAGGTAAAAAAATGCCTTTAATTTTGAAGTTTGGATTTTTAAAAAGATGTGAATATGAGTTAGTAGAAGTTTTTCTGGCCTTCAAAGTAGACATTAGCAATTTTTTTTGTAAACAAAATATAGATTTCTAGAATTCATTAATAGTGTAACATATGTAGTTTGACTATTAGTTTGATAAATACTTTTTGTTATTTTCCTGTTAACAGGAGTGCCTTGCAGTAAGAACTCTTGATCCTCTTGTCAACACATCCAGCCTAATAATGAGAAAATGTTTTCCTAAAAATCGTCTTCCTTTACCAACTATTAAAAGTGCTTTCCATTTCCAACTCCCAGTTATTCCTGCCACTGGTCCTGTGGCTCAGCTGTACAGTTTGCCTCCTGATGGTATAGTAATTTTGTAATACTTTGAGTATGTCTATTGCTGCTTTTGTAGAGTGGAATCAATTGCAGTTGTTTGTGTTCTCCACTAAAACTTGGACTCTGATGCTCTTCTTAACCAGCAAAGGGTCTGTGACTGTTAGTGTGTAGCACCAGTTTCTAATTTTAAGTGATGAAAATTTTGTCTATACCTGTGGTTATAAAATAAAAAAGAAAACAGCAGCTAAAAGGTGATGTTCATCAAACTCCAAAGTGTAAAGGAGAGGCTGTATACAAACTTAAATGGTCTCTCCTTTTAACTCACTTATCATATACATTCTGCTGTGTGAAACGTGATGTAGTGTACATCCTTTCTTTCTGTGTTACCCTGATACCTCAGGGTGTGGTGAATTTAGATTAGCATGCGCCACTTGAAGCATTGGCTTTTTTGAATTATTATGTTTTTTCCTTCATTTGCATGATGAAAAAGTAGAGCTGCTTTCGTGGACTGTTGCAGTCTCTTAGAAAATACTTGTCTGCAAAGCATTTGTATGGTGCTTTGTAGGAAATAGATTCAGCCTGCTCTGAACACCTGTCATTATTTTCAGAGAGTTAATGTTTAATGCATATGCAGATATGGTGAAGCAGCTTCAGACCTGGGTAGGCAACTAATAAAGTTGCTGTCAGAAAGTTACTCTAAAACTTATGTTTTGTCTTCATGGTATAAAATAGATCAAGAAGTGTGTTTCAAAATCCACAGAAATTAAATGTCCACTTAATACAGTGTGTTTGGTGCTCTGTAATACCTATTTAGAAACTTCCTAATCTGGTGAAGCGAACTACTGATGTTTTTTTAAGTGGGTTTGTTATCTTCCATAAAAAGAAGAGAACAACCTAAGTAAATAGGTGGTAGAAGTCTGTGTTTTTTAAAAGTGCAGTCTTGTACGGGCAGTATTGTAAAAGCAATATATGTAGTTATTCTGAATACACTAGAAAATCAGTATAATGTGTCAGTTTCTGAGTGAGCCTTTTACTGACAATCAGCAAATTTCCTGCATGGGAAACCCTTTATGAGAAAACATAACAAAAACATAACAAACAGGACTAGTTAATGAGTTGGTCTTCACATTCTTTTTAAGTGGTAAGTGAAAAAGAGAATAAACACAGAACAGAGAAGTTCTTCTTTGAACTTGTGTGTTGCATTAAATGTATAATCTGCCTTACCAAACTCTTCTGTATTGTAGTGGATGATGTAGTAGATGAAAGTGATGATAACGATGATGCTGAAACAGAATCAGAAATTGAAACTGAAAATGATGATGACAAAGACCAACATTTTAAGGTTGGTAGAGACAATTAATTAAAATTGTCTAAGTCTAAATTAATTAAAATTAATTTAAAAAGCTCCTAAAACTCAAAGCGGGTGCTGCTTGAAAATGTCAACCTTTCTTGTTCAGGTGACTTCAAGATTTTATCAAAATCTGTTTGCTTCACACTTAGTGTATCTGGAGTACAGTGGAATGGAACTACAAACTCTTTTGGTAGCATTCTGTTCCCCACTTATATTTCTCTCAGCCTGCTCTTCCTACATAAGCTGCTCAGTATGTAGGAGCTGCTATAACTTTTTTGATCATTCTGGACTGGGATGGACTAGATCAATCCAATGAAGTGTTTCAGCAAGGTAATAAGTTCAGCCAGCTGCAGAGGTACAGATCAGATCTTTCACTGCTGTACCACTTTAGGAAGTTATTATCCTGCTCCACCTGCCACTCAGAACATGGATGGATATTTGGCCAGACCTGCCTTATTTAGTGTTTTTATATTACAGATATTTAGGAGTTAATTGAATTGTCTGTCCATGGACTGGATAAACAACTTTCATTGAAGGATCTGATGAGCTCTGATGAAGGGAGTGTCTTCTACAGAAGCAGCATTGCTTTGTCACTGCAGTCTCCACATTCCAAGCTACAACAGTTAAAATATGCACAGATCTCATGTAAAGTGTATTCTGATATCTGTGTATAATGAAATTGTGTAAAAGCAAGAAAACTGAGATGTTCTAGTATTTCTGTTGAAATAGAGACTTAGGTATACTAATACAACTGAGCTGCTTAAATCTTCCTGGTGAAAGCTGCAGTTCAGCTAATTTTTAAATAGGGGTATTCAGCTTTTAAAGCATGGCTGTATCAGGTATACAAGGTGAACTTTTTAGATTAATGTTTTAGAAGTTCATTTATTCTGGATGCAAGATTAATTTGTTCTGGTGATCTTTCAGAATGATGATATTGAGACTGATATTAATAAACTGAAACCTAGACAGGAATTGGGAAGACCCATAGAAGAACTGAAAATGTATGAGCAGTTTTTCCCAGAACTTTCAGAAAACTTTCAGGTAAAGTATATGATTCCCAGGACATTTCTTATTATATGTCATCATGACATTATTATGACATTTCTTATTAGGTTGACTCTGGAATACACTTTGATGTTCTTTTTTTGATGGATAATTCCTCTAGTCAAGAAACATGGGTCTGCAGTTTTAGATCTACATATGAGAGTGCTATATACTAAGTAACTTAGTTAAATGTTATGATTACTTTGTTTTGACTGAGAAGGGGACTATGGGCAGATGTAAGCAAAGCTGTTTTGTGATGTTTAATTATTGGCCACGGTAGAAATAAAATAGTAAGAAGGGACATGAGATTTCTGAGAGAGAATCATTGTATTAGATATTTCCTTAATGCTGTGCACCTATTTAAAATAGGTGCATTAAAATATTTAAAATAGGTTAAAATATCAATTGCATTGACTTGATACTTTGTTATTGATGAACTACTTGGTTATGGCTTTAAAGCTTTGGTCTTGTAAAAGGTTAACCTTAATTGCTATGACAGCTTATAACATAATAACTGCTATCTTTTAAATTACATTGCTTTTGGATTATTCAAAAACTTACCTCAGGAACAAGGAAAGAGAAATGTTTCTAATGTAAACAGAACTTAGGAAATATTTGGGGTTTTGTTAATGATTTTTTCACCTTTATTTTTTAAGGAATGGCACTTAGTTTCCAAGGAACCAAAGCCTTTTGTACCTGATGCAAATCTGAGTGGACCTATTGTTGTTCCTACAGCCAGTGAGGAGCACCCTGCTGAAGGAAACCAGTCAACAAAAGGGGTTGCTTTGAAGGAAAGCAATCCTTTATTGACAGAGGAATATAATAGAAGGCCAGTCTTTCTGGAACTACCAAAGAAAGATGGTATGAAAGACAGTAGTTCACATCAGCAAAATGATCAAAGAAACATGCTTCCATCATGCCAGTGTCTAAGCCAAGAAATTGTAAAAGGCTTGGACAGAATCAGTCTACAGAACAGTGCAAAAAATGATCAGTATTATGGTCCAGGGTGTGTAGTAAAGAAGGAAAGCAAAGCTAGCCTTACCACACTTGCTTGCAGCAAACCTTGTGAACATGTTTCACCCTGTGGAAGTAGCCTATTTGAAGGATCATCTGTCCAGCTGGGAAAACTGTGCTGCACTGGAGTGGATTCAGAAGAGGAGGAGGATTCCAGATCTAGTTCATCAGGGGAACAAGTCATGCTTGAGGTTTCCGATGTATCATCAGTTCACGACTGTGATCTTTATATTGAAATGGTAAAAACAACAAAATCTATTCCGGAATATTCAGAAGTGGCCTATCCAGATTATTTTGGCCATATTCCACCCCCATTTAAGGAACCTATTCTGGAAAGACCATATGGGGTACAGAGGTGAGTTACCATACTAATTTTTTTTGTTGTTGTTATTGTTCCCTTGAAGAACAGTTTTTTAGGATAAGATTAACTAGATGATCTCCAGAGGTCCTGTGCAACCCTGACTGTTCTATGATTCTGTGATTACCAAGCCATATTACACAGTTCACTTTGGCATCTAAAACTACTTTCAGTGAAAAGCAGTTTGAAGGTAGGTGAGTAGGTATTGATAAGTGCAGAGCCACAGAGAAGAACACAATCTGATCTGAAATTGCTAATTCTGTGATCCAGTTTCTAAATACTGAAGTTTAATTATTTAATTTATAAGTTCCCTTTCTAACCTTCCCACCATCTCCCATCTAAATTTTGCGCTTTGCAAAAAAAATAAACCAACCCACAGAAAAACACCACCAAACAAACAAAAAAATCCCCAACTGAATGCTCCCTAAAGATGCTTTAGCACCTTTAATAGTTTGAAGATGCTTCAGCTCTTCTCTCTGCTGTGCTAAAAAGCTATCTTTCAGGAAAATATAGCGGAGAAATTTAAAAAATGAATACGCTGAAGTGTTTGGTTTTGGCGTTTGTAGTATAACAGAATTTAGAGGTAACAAGTGCTGAAAATGCAGTTTGTGTTAGGTCCTGCAGAATAGCACACAATAAACACGGAAGGAAAAATAAAGCAAACCATCAAAAAACAACACATCAACACACCCATTTGTTTCTTCTCTGAGAAGATGAGGAGTGATGAAGACAGATGAGACTCTTAAGAATAATTTGCAGAGGTGGTATGAAGAGTTGGCTCATATACGTAGTAAGTTACTGTAGACAAATGAGCATGTTAGCAACATACAATATGAGACCTTACCACCTGCCTAATTATGAGGCTGAATACCTTTGGCTTTGGAGCCCCTGGTGGTCTAGTGGTAAAGGCGCGGCACTATCACCGCCGAGACCCGGGTTTGATTCCCGGTCAGGGCCACTCCCGGGCAGGTGGAGCTCGTCAGCCTTAAAGGCAACCCATCTACATCCTAAGAACCTCGCTGCCACCGTCCAAGCTCGCTTGGCCCCGGCAGATGAACCTTAGGATTAAAGGGTGGGCTCAGTTCCGCGCACACTGTGTCTCACCTAAAAAATCCAATGCGCAGGCTGGAAGGTGGAAAGACCTTCCCCAGATCTTCGCTCGTGAAGGCTGGCCATTATTATTATACCTTTGGCTTTATATTTGTAACTATTACCAACTTAATGAGATTCTTCATGTTTGCATTTAGATATTAACGTGATTAAGAGATTAAATGTGTTTAGGTGGTATAATTAAAATCCTTTAGCTGTTTCATAAATGTTATAAAACAGTGATCTTGCCAGTGAAATGAACAAGTGCTGAAAACTAATGATATAATGAATATACCGTTCAATGTTGAAGGAAGAGAATCTTCCCTGTAAGGTCTTTATTAGATAGATTCAGCTGATTAGAAGGGAGATAGTCTTTAGTCAGGAATCACCTAAGAACTGCATTGTAAGAAAATCTTGCAAATCCCCTCACTTATGTTTTTGTACTAATTAATTATTCTGAAATTTCCTGAATAAAATAGAGTGAAGTCAGATACAATTTGTCATTCCAGTGTTTGTTCTTAGATATAAAGGACTGTAATTACAAACCTTGCATGGTTATACATAAAGCTGATTTGTAGAACATAAAGATAATTTGAGGGTATATTTTAACTTCAAAATATTTTGATTTTGTTGTATTTTGTATGTTGAAAGCAACTTCTTTAGTCTTCTCTGAAACAAGAATGAAATATCAGGTAATATTGCTAACCTTGAATCAAAAATCCTAAATCATATTTTTAAGATACACTCTTTTAAGAATTCAGTTTTCTACAAATGACTCGAGTCTTGTTACTTCAACATAACAAACTTCTGAGAAGGGAACCTGTTTAAAAAGGGCTTAATCTTCTTAGGAATTAACATCTTTTAGGAAAGTGGTAAAAATGAGTTTGGTAGGGGAATGGAAAAACTTTGAAGTCTTCTACAAAGCTGTGTCCAAGCTCTTTGGACATCCAGTGGGATTTGTTTCCCTTAATCTAAGCAGTTAGTTCTGCTAATGAGCTAAGTCTTCTTTAGAAAACTAATGGTTGCTTTAATCCATCTGTGTAATTAAGAAAACATGGTGGGTCTAAGGTGTGATTGAGTGGGTTTTCTTCATACTTTTATTAGAGCAACATGGTGTGGACTTGGGGATTTTTTTTTTAGTCTTGCATTTTGCCGGGAGATTAAATGTTTTTGAATTTTTGTTTTGGAGTACTTTTAAGCTCAGTAGCACGTAATTATCACCAGATGTCTCACCAAATGTCTCACCAAATTATTATTGTTTGGAAAAATGAAATTGATAATAACTGAAGTATTTTATATCACTCTATGTTTTAGAGATGAAAATTATGATATAGTTCAGTAACCTATAAATTTGGGTTTAAATTCCTACTTTTTTTCTTCCATTCCTTAAAAATTTAGGTTGTTTGTTTGTTTTTCTGTACACTTTAGTATTTTCTAATCATCAGGATCCACAAAGAACTAGTCTGTAAGAACATGGGTCACATCAACAGTGTTGGTTCTAGATTGTTTTGTTTTTAATTACCTTAAAATAGCTTATCTTGGGTTTTTTGGAACCTGAAAATGTCTACTACTCCTTTTCCTTTTAGTGCGCATCTTGAATATTGTTTCTTCTTTCCTTTCATATACACGTTGGTCATTATAATGGTATTTGAATGCCATTACTATTTATGCAGTATTTATTATGGATTTTCATTGATGGAGTTTTGTCTTGGCAAAACTCCTGTGATGATAGGAAGTGTTATGACCTTTTAGAGCTGAGGCATGCTGAGATCTGAAGAGTTCTGTAAGATCAAGTGCAAGGTGAAAAATCTGTAGTTCTGTCCTGAGCTGAACCTGTTCAGATAGATTGTGGTGAGTCAACCTCGTCACAATTTTGTCAGTACACTGGACTTGTGAATTGTTTTCTTTTCCAGAAATTTAAATTTTCCAGTTTAAATTTAAAAAGAGGTGCTAGAATTGTGCACTTACCTTCTCTTTCTCATTTGTTAACAGTATTTATTTTAATTAAATTGAGAATTTCCAGCATGAATGTACTTTACCGCTCTGTTTCTGTATTCTTCATTGTTAATCTGCCTCCTTTTCTTCTTATTGCAGGTGCTGTGCAAGCTTTTCCACACAGCTCTGCCACTATATTTCATTCTTGAACTGCAACACATTCTTACTTTTCCAAACCAGGACCTAGATACTGCCAGTTGTGCAATGGTTTTATGATCTGGATAAACATACACCTACCATTTGGCTGACATCACCAAATTAATTTTTATTACCTAGTCGATAAATGAACTAGATCTCCAGAGGTGAAAAGCTAGTTCACTAACACACTCACTGTACGACCTACTCTCTAAAACTCCTTAATTTTGGTTATGGTAGGACTCATTTAAGTTACTAATGTTATCAAGTGTTGTCCTGGATTAAAGCATTAACATAAGTAACGTTTGAGTAATTCCTGCTTCTGTTATAAAGTATGAAACTGCATTTTTTTCCATAAGATAAAACCCAGTGGGTTGTCTGCATGAAAACTTAGTTCCCTCACATATAAATATTGGATGCAGTCAACTGCGAATGCAGGTGTTTAAACTTAAGTACACATAAGTGAGGGTGAGGCTGAGATCTCTCTGAACTATACCACTATCTTCATGTTGACTTTGTTAGTTTTCATTCCTATATGAGTTAATTCCTCTTTTGTAGTTGAGAAGAGTATGTGAAAATTTGAATGAGAACTTTGCTTTTTATTTTAGGACAAAAATCTCTCAAGATATTGAAAGGCTGATTTATCAAAATGACATTATAGACAGAGTTGTGTATGACCTTGATAATTTAAGGTAAGTATTTACCTTTCTGAAAAGAATATTTGACTCATACTCTAAGCCTATTCTACTTACTCTGTGATAAGATTTGCAATATTTAAAGCAGATTCCATTGAAAGTTTTATCTGATGTAACAGTGTTTCTGCTCTCCAGGCTGTATTTAGAGGAAGATTCTGAGGACTAAAAGAAATTAATTTGTTTTAGTTAAGTTTGTTTTATATTTATATTTATATTTGTATTTGTATTTGTATTTATATTTGTATTTATATTTATATTTATATTTATATTTATATTTATATTTATATTTATATTTATATTTATATTTAATTTTGGTCCCTTTTTCTACTCATAGTTGTTCAATACCAGAGGAAGCAGATGTTTTGAAGTTTAATTCCAAATTTGAATCTGGAAATCTGCGCAAAGTTATCCAGATCAGAAAGTAAGATATTTCAACTCTTCTTTTCATAGTTTAGGCGTACTATTTCTGCTTCTTAAAAAAAAGATTGATTTATTTTTTTAATCTTCAGAAATGAGTATGATCTAATTCTGAATTCGGATATAAATAGCAATCATTATCATCAGTGGTTTTACTTTGAAGTCAGTGGAATGAAAACTGGCATTGGTTACCGGTTTAACATCATCAACTGTGAAAAGTCAAACAGTCAGTTTAACTACGGTAAGATACATTTCCCATACTTTGAGAAGAAATACTTAAAAAATATCTATACTAGACATTTCAACTGTTTCCTTCCCTTCTCTACAGGATCAGTAGTATTCATGTTGTCAGCTTACATGGTTTATTTTAATAGTATTGCTAGAAGATGTTTTGACAGTTTCAGTTAAAAACTAAAAATATGTCTTAAACCACGAGCTGCCAGTTTTTAAAGTGAAGTTTTGTTGTTAAGTGAGGCCAAAGTGGAAAAAATTTACTGGTGTAATTAAAAGTGATCCAAGAACGTTGGTGGACAACACCAAAGCTTGTTGATTGACAGAGGTCAGGAAGAATGACATCATAAGTCTATTTCTGCATAGAGGTATATTTTCAGATGTGAAAGTATATGGAGACATTCTAAAACAGTTTTGTCCTATTGATGGGACGGAAAAATAAGTCTGCTTTGAAATGCTGGGCTTCCTAAGTGACCCTTGCAGTCTTTAGCAAGTCTAATGCATGTACCTCATTCAAAAATACTGGCTTAGTGAATATGCCTTTCTTCCACTTGTCTGGGAGTGTGTATGGGGTGTGTGTGTTATTCAGCTTAAAACCATTTGTTTTGTGAAGTTTCTTTTTTTCTTGCTATATATTCTGAAACTTGTCCTTTAAGAAGGAAGAAGAGAAATTCCTTCTCCCCCCCAAATTCAAACTCTTTGCACAGAGTAATATTGTATTCTTCTTTGTCCTACGCATATGTTCACAGTGATCAAGTCACAGGTAGTTTAACCAGTAATAAGATGCTTTTAAATTATTTACTAATCCTCATCAATTTTCTTAAATCTTCTTCTATGTTGAGTATACTTACTTGATAGTTACTTTTGGTTTTTTTTAAGTACATTGACTAAATCAGTCAATGGGGTTGGCTAATTACCTAACCAGTAAGGAAATGATGTTCAATTAGTATGCATTCTTTTCTCTTTTACTTCATATTAAGTATTCAAATTAAGTATACTATCAAAAAAAAATACATGAAGAGTCAACTGTTAAAAAAGTTGTCTAAAATTTAGTTATTTTTCACTTATTTATGTAAATGGATAATAGTATCAGTTTTTTGTACTCTCTTGAGTTGGTTGGATTGGGACCCAGGATTTTTTGTAGATTACTGTTTATGCTAACCTCATCTTTCATTTAAATATTTCGTTTTGGTCTTCCATGGATCTGATTCTTTTCTTTAATTGTTATTTTCTGAAAATCAGTAATCTTTTGTTATCTGGTTGAAAGAGCATACAGTACCCAGACATTCATGAAAATATGATAGTGAGTAAATAAGTATAGGGAATTTGTAGACTTGTATGTAAGTGTTGATGTGGTCCATTACTGCTATGATCTTTCTGTTTAATGTTAAGCATTAAAGTGAGATGCATGTTTTCTCTCAGGAATGCAGCCCCTCATGTATTCTGTTCAAGAAGCACTAAATTCTCGACCATGTTGGACTCGTGTTGGGACAGATATTTGTTACTACAAGTAAGTATGTGAATCAAACATATAGCAAATCTTAACTGAAGTTTAGCGGGAGGTACAATTTTTGAGGAGAAACATTTGTTTCTGCATTTGATAATAGTGTTATTCTGTTGTGAACAGAGTTTTCTTCTCAAGTTACTAAGGAGAGTAATAGACGTGATAGAAATATACAGGGTCTTATTTTGCAGGCACACTGCTAATATTTAAGCTCTTTGTATTTTATACTTTACTCAGAAGTTGCACACTGTTTCAGAGAAGCTTTTAAGGGAAGAGATATATATATATGCATGCTTACTGGAAATCTAATCAGTGACTTTGACTAATACATGGTCCTTGTGATGAGCCTCCTGTAATCTGTGGTGCAATCAGTGTAGAGCAATCCTAGGACACAGGAGGACATGGTACAGCATATCCATATGTATTCCTTCTAGCTTGGTAGCTATTTGCATACTTGTTTTTTGTTTGGTTTTGTTTGTTTTATTGTGTTACTTGTTTTTGTTTACTCACCCTTCTCCACTGTGGATGAGTGTGTATATCACTGCTGTGAGATAGGATCTTTACAGCTAGTAGGAATCTGTGTATTAAACCTGGATGTACACAGAAGAGAAGTACAATCACCAGAAATCCTTCTGACACTTACAACATGTGTTCAGAAATAATAAATGGTATGAAAAAAATTATTCTAATTTGTATGCTACCTTCATTTTTGCTTTAGGAATCACTTTTCAAGAAGTTCAATTGCTGCTGGAGGTCAGAAAGGAAAATCCTATTACACAATTACGTTCACAGTGACTTTCCAACATAAAGATGATGTGTGCTACTTTGCTTACCATTATCCATATACATACTCAACTTTAAAGGTGAGAAGATTATGGTATGTTACATAGATAAATATTTATGAGTGCATTCTTTTTGTTTCTTTATATAAAATTTAAAATGCTCCTTAAAATGGAAAATTTTCATAATGGTAATGTTTAGCCTGAAAAGTGTATAGGTTGTTCTAAAAAACAGCCCCTGGAAAAAAAGAATTGATGCTTGCAGGCCAAATAGGTTTTGTAGGAGTCGTAAATATGATTATGGAACTAGAGCATTTCTTTTACGAGGAAAGGCTGAGGGAACTGGGTCTTTTCAGCCCAAGAAGAGATGACAGAGAAGACACCTCATCAATATATATTATATCTGTAAGCATCTGAAGGGAGGGTGTCAGGAGGACAGAGCCAGGCTCTGCTTGGTGGTGCCAAGCAACAGAACAAGAGGCAACAGGCAGAAACTGATGCCCAGGGAGTTCCTCCTTAATATGAGGAAGAACTTCCCTACTGTGCAGATGACTGTGCACTGGAATGCGCTGCCCAGAGAGGTTGTAGAATGTCCTTCACTGGGGATATTCAAGAACCATCTGGACACAATCCTGTGCCATTTGCTCTAGGATGGCCCTCTTTGAGGAGGGAGATTGGACCAGGTAACTCACTGTTGTCCCTTCCAACCTTACCCATTCTGTCATTGGTGCTAATTGGATGAAGTATTTGTGTTTGAGTCAAATTTGGGTCAAATGACTTGTATCCTGCTGTTCTACATCTACTTCTTGGTAACTGAAGTTACTATAATTAAGATAATTTTACTAATCTCACACTTGATACCCCTTCCTTGACCTGGGACCAGTATGCATACTGGTTGGGTAGTCCACTTTGGAGTTTGCTAGCAAATTGCACATGCACTTCCCCTTACGCACCTGCTGTCGGGAAAACACGTAGGCTTGCCTTCCACCTCTATCAGTTGGTACCAGGCACATGGGCTTGTAATCCATGTTACTATTCTAGGTGCTGGCACTGAGAAATTAGCCCTTATCACACGACCAGCTGTGTTTTGGGGACACACTGTTCTTGCTTCAGGGGTTGGACACCAACACCCTTTACCCAGTGCAGTAGCTGGCCCTGAGACGCTCTCAGTGCTGATACCACTGACTGAAGGGTGCCTGCAGTGCCTACAACTCCGGCTGCTGGAGTCTGCTTTGATTCCAACAGCAGCTGGGGCACGGGACACAGAGTCTCTGGTATCCGCAAAGATGCTCCCAAGAAATGTGTCCTCTCCAACTACTGATGATGAGACACTTGCTCACTCCCAAACCCACCTACACCTGTTTTGTTATTTGCACTAGTCTACATAGCACTTGCATGTTAAGGAGAGAGAGGTAGCTAAAGCATACTGCAGGGATCAGGTGCCTGATTTTTGTATGGTGCTGCAGCCCTCCTCTTGAATTTCCTGAATCCTCAGGTTCCTCTTCTTTCCTTCTTGCTCCTCAGGTGACTCTCTCCTAATCTTTGTCTGTAGATTCTTAATGGCCTGTCAGTGAGAGACTGGTGACTTTGATCTTTGCTTTAGTTTCTGTTGTCTCAGCTCTCCATTGCTGTTTGTTGATTCTTCCTTTACTTGTTATCACTTTTTGCAGTGGAAAGGTCTCTTATCAGATAACCTTAATGAAGCAGAGGTTCTTACCTTCCATATACCCTTACAGTAACATCTGTGTACAATAATATACCCTCTCTGCCTTCATCCTTCTTGAAGCAGTTGGAAAAACAGAATTTATAAAGAGAAGTATTCAATCAGTCAGAGAATGATACTTCATGGTCAAAATTATGATGGAAACTTGAGCATTGTTTAGAACAATAAAAAGAAAGATCTGTTAAATAGTACCTTTGAAGTATGCTGTCACATGTCACTGCAAAGGATTTGAAGTATTTTTTCATTATTTTTTGGATGAAGATGCATCTTCAGAAGCTGGAATCAATGCACAACCCTCAACAGATATATTTTAGACAAGACGTTCTCTGTGAGACCCTGGCTGGCAACAGTTGTCCATTAATCACTATTACAGCCATGCCAGAGTCTAGTTACTACGAACATGTCTGTCAGTTCAGTAAGTATGACTTCTCTTTATCGTCATCTGAAAATAATGTAAACCGAGATACTTATAGAAAAAACATTAGCATTAACTCCTGTGCATTGTAAAAACAGCAATGCAAAATAAGGTTAATAACTTTATTGAGATTAAGGGGCATCAATAGTCAGGATTTGCTATCTATTTAGTAATATTTATTTGTAATAGTCAAAGTTATTTATATTTGGAAATAAAGAGTATATATTAATATATTTAAAATTTTTGTTGTTAGATGTTTTTGTATGTTGCATTTTGCAGACAACACTTCTTGGAAAAGAGTGCCTGATGATTAACTTTTTTCTCCAAATGCTGAGGTTGTTTGCTTGTCAAAAAATCTTTCATAAAGCCAATATATAAGTTACTGTGATGTGAAGTGAGCTTTAGTTGTAATAGCATTCTTGATTTGTTTGTCCACCCCAGTGTTTTTCTTGGCTATTGAGAAAAAGTCCTGTCATAAGTGCCAGCTCAAACTAGTTGTGACTGTATAATTGTCTGATTGAATTTAAAGCTCCACTGTGATAGTTCTATGATTAGCAGTCCTTTAAAAAATACTTGACAAGCTCTATCAATAACACTTGTACTCAGTAATACTCAAATCAGAAATACTGGGGTTTTTGCATTGTAATAGATGTACTTTAGATGGCTCTTTTTTCAATTTAACGAACTATTTACTTAGCTTAAATCGTATTTTGCAATTTCTATGCATACTTCTTTTAGGGAATCGTCCTTATGTTTTCCTGTCTGCGCGTGTACATCCTGGAGAGACTAATGCAAGCTGGGTTATGAAGGGAACACTGGAATACCTTATGAGTAATAATCCAAATGCCCAGTGTTTACGGGAGTCTTATATTTTCAAAATTATTCCCATGCTCAATCCAGATGGTGTCATCAATGGAAAGTAAGCATAAATTTACTTACAAATATGTAGCCTGTACTGCTAATTCTTTACATCATTATTTTAAAAAGAATAAAGTAATCCTGGAAAGATATTTAATGAGATAAAATCCAACAAACACTTGCAATATTGCTAGGACTTTTTCATTTTTTTTTGCCTTTTAAAAGGTAGTTGCATTGTGTCATGAATTTTGGTTTTATAAAAAATATTTTTACCTTTCCATAGATAATAATCTTTGCTATGTGATTTGACATGACATTTTAATTGTCTCTCTGAACAGCAGTCTCGGATATGTGTGTTATATGAGACCACACCTGGCATTAGGAAAAGCTAAACAACTTCCCAGTCCTAATGAAAAAAAAAAAAGCCTTGTACTTGAGAAAGCTTTTTATGTAAATATTTTTTTTTTGCTATTGTCAAGTGTTGTTAAAAATGGAAAGTTAATAGCTGTTCAGGAGAAAGGGAGGAGAGTATCCTGGTTTGATTAAAGTTATTCATATTAATTATTTCACTTACTGCTACTTTTCTTAATAGATTTAAGGGATATTTCAGAACCTTTTGAAACCGCTCTGAGTAAGCATTCAGAAATCTCCATTTACTTGGTTACAGGGATTCAAATGAAATGGAAATTTTGCTGTGATGAATCCACAGTTTCTTCCCATCTAGTTATGGGTAATATTTTAAAGATTTTGTGAAAAAAATAATAAAAATAAAACCAGTTATGGATTTCAGTAGAACTCTGTCTTTATAAATGTAAGAGCATGTACATACTGAAACATCTGTAATGAAATAATTCAGGATACAGGGACAATTAAGAAATATATCCCAGCAGACACAGTCTAAAGGCAAATGTAATGAAGATTACTACACGATCATGAATTTCTGCAAGTTTAAAAGTTCTTACTGATAGTTGACAATGAGGAGATGATCTTTATTTGTTTGCTGGTTTTTTTGTTTGTTTGTTTGTTTTCTTTCTTGTTTTTCTCACAGCTCCTTGTCTCCTAACAATTTCCTGTTTCACATATTAGATTTCTATTTGGCATTAGTCTTTAAATTACAGAAGTCAAGACACCAAAACTGTAAAGATACCTTATATTTGAAATTACTGATTTTGAACTAGCATTTGAATAGAATTGCAAGCCTTCAGTTTCAACAGTAAATAAACAATATTACAATTGACTTCACATAAGAAGCTACTTCTAATTTATTTTTAATTTCTCTGTAACATAACTTAAAACACCCCAAACTAAAAATGCTATTATATGGCATGTTAGAAAATTGAAGTTTGTTTCTTACCAGACTCCTTCCAAAGAAGCAGTGGTGATGAGGATATCTTGAGGTGGGGGGGAGGCTTATTTAAAAGTATGATAATACAGACTACATCATGCGTTTTTCCACCCCCCCGCAATAGCCACCGTTGCTCTTTAAGTGGAGAAGATTTAAACAGACAGTGGCAAAATCCAAATCCAGATCTGCATCCCACTATTTACCATGCTAAAGGGTTACTGCAATATTTGGCTGCTATAAAACGTTTACCTTTGGTAAGTATGTGTGTGTAAGCAATTCTGAACCTTTTTAACTTTATCTATGTAGCTAGTCTATAAATTAAACACTTTAATGGGGTCTTGTAAACCATGTCACACTTAAATTTGACTTGGAGAACTGGTCTTCTGCAAACCTGTAGATGTAAATCTGTTACATTGGCTAGGATAGAAGGTTAAACCTTCCTTAGACGAATCCCATGTTTTTTGTCATAATACACAAGTTAATTATATAAGGAAGTGTGTTGCCTACAGTACAAATATAATTAAAAAAAAAATGGCTTCTATTACTTTCATAAAATGTTAACTCCATATGCCTTGGTTTTATTTTGCTAAATGATTTATTCTAGGTCTACTGCGATTATCATGGTCATTCTCGTAAAAAGAATGTATTTATGTATGGCTGCAGCATCAAAGAGACCATGTGGCATACGAGTGTTAATGCTGCCTCTTGTGACCTGATGGAAGACCCTGGTTACAGGGTAAGTTTGTCATTTGTACCTCTTTCACTGGGCATGGATTTGGAATATACTTTTCAAATAACTTCCTCATAATATCTTGTGCAAGTAATGACTCTACAGCATAAGCAGACTTATTTAAAATGATCTCCTTTTAGTTCATGAGTGTACTTTTAATTATTTTGAGAGCTTTAAATATTGCAGAGTGCTTATTTTTTTTTGTTGTTTCTTTGTACCAATAAGTGCTTTTTTTTTTGGTGTGTTTAATATTGCCATTAGAGACAATAGGCGGAAAATATGCCTCTTTGCATTCATAATTACTAGATGAACGTATAGTCTAAGCATGGCAAGCAATATTCTAGCAACAAGAAAATAAAGATACAGGATTGTTTTGAGAAATACTCATTTATGTGTATGGAAATAGGCAGGATTCTTCTTATACAGATTTATAGGTAAGGCATATGCCCCTAATTAAATATACATAATCAACTTCCACAAAAACATCCACTGCATTGTATAAACTTTCAAAAATGTCAAAAATGTAGAGGATTTCATGTTACCTGTTTCTTCTGTGAATCTCCACTGCCGCCTTGTGGCAACCGCAAACCCGTGCAACCTAAATGCATCCAGGCCTGCTGGGTTTTTTTGAGGAGATGCAGAGTTAAGCTCGAAAAACATGCGAATGTGTGACAAAATGCTTGTTATACATCCGTGAATGTAATCGAGTACAGATGCTTTCCTCACTCCCTCATTTACACAAAACAAAATCTATCACTTCTTGATTTTCTTATGTGATTTCCTGGATGCTGAGTCAAATGCCATTCACATCTGTTGCTGTAACACATTTATATAGGGTTTTGTCACTTCAACCTGCACTAGTATACTACACAGAAGACAACAGTCCATAAGAGTTGTGGGGAAAAAAGCCTTTTGATTTCAAAAAGGTGGACTGAAATGTTTGGGCACGGTTACACGATTAACGGCGTGTATACTACTGAAATAATAAATTTGAAGCAGTCATGTGTTTTGTCTTAACTGACACAAACAAAAGCTGGAAAGAATAGTCATTTAGCATTAGTGAAATGCACATATTTGCATAACCATTCCTTGAAGCTGTCATGTAAACAGTTATACTGAACTTTGATTCACATCCTTAAAGTTAAATATGCACCTAGTGCTTTGCTGTATACAAGTTAATTTTATGTATTAATAAAGTACTGTTTTTATTAGGTCTGTAAATGGGATTGTTGAAACAGTCTGAAACTGAATTAAATAATTTTATGCAGTGTGTGGTACACTTAATTTAAGCAAGCTTAGCTTGGTGAATTAGGGAGAAGATGATCAGCTGAAGAATTCTCTTTTATCCTGATTCTTACCCACATGACTAACCATTTTAGTGACTGAATCTGAAAAAAAAAATTTATTAAGTAGGAAAAGCCAAACCTGAAGACACTGTTTTTAAAACTCAAGATGGAGATTTATTTTCTTGTTACTTTAATTCAAACTGCAGTACAATTTTATCATAACACTTTGTGATTACATGGCCCCCTCTTATCTCCTTCTATAAAGGAAATAATTTCAAACTGCTGTCCTGCAGGCACTCCCCAAGATCCTGAGTCAGATTGCCCCAGCATTCTGCATGGGCAGCTGCAGCTTTGTAGTAGAAAAGTCCAAGGAATCTACAGCACGAGTTGTTGTCTGGAGAGAGATAGGAGTACAAAGGAGCTACACAATGGAAAGCACATTATGTGGATGTGACCAGGGCAAATATAAGGTAAGAAGATATATCAGTTAAACTTTTCTTTCTTTTTAATTACTTCCATTTGCATTGGTATCTTATTCTATAACTCCATTTGCTTGCTTGCTTGCTTTAACTTCTAAAACCTTCTAAGGTCTGGGCACATTAATGGCAGGATGAAATTACATAGCTTGCAATATTATATATGCTCATGGGCTGCTTTAACAAGATTAATAATAATCATTGCTTGTAACATGTATGCATGTAATTAAAAAACCTCAGAACTGTTCTGTCCAATAGATTTTTAAAATTCAGTAATAATCGAGGCCAATACTATAATAAAAATGTCCTTGATATGTGGCAGTTTCAGACTTCACCATGGCAGTTCATGATTCTTCAGCAGGTATTTAGTAGTGTCCCTCACAGAATTTTCCTTTGTAGCTGAAGAAACAGGCTTATAAATCAAAACACTTCCATATCAGGTTACCAGCATTATAAATTGCACATCATCTCTGAACTCGTCATAGTTGTTTGGGTTCTTGACTTAAAATTCCTTTTCATTTTCTCGAAAAGTGTTAAGAGGGCTGGGTATTTGGAAACAAAATGTGACTCTCCTTTTAGTGTGTCAGTAGTAGACAGCATTCATGGAAGAAGTTGGTTTCATCTGCCTGAAAATAGAGCTTATGAATGCTAATCAAGAAAATGATCACAAGCCTGAAATAAGGTGCTTGACAGAAAGAAGATCAGAAGGCTGAGATTAAGGATAGGGTGGGACAGAAACAAAAAAAAAGTTAGAACAAGGTATATTTAGTATATTAATGTATGCTCCAACATCCATGCTTGTCTCCCTAGACACCAGGAAGACAGACATTTTGGCAGGAATTTTGGTAGGTCTGTAAGTACTAAATTCTGTCAATTAATACAGAAGCATTCCTGCTGTTGTCAGAATATTCCATTATTCTTCAGATGACATCATTATGGAGCTTTAAAAAAAGATAACTCATCCCACTTGCTTATTTTGAAATTTCCAGAATGTTCTTAAACATGAATTTCATGCAGTGTTGCTATAGAAAGTACTTAAGAAAAGTGAAGAGCTTTGTGGACAAACTTTAAAGATGCTTAAACCTCCAAAGCCCTTCTTCATTGATGAAGGAAAAAAAATTGCTGAATTCTGTGGAAGAATCATAGACTGAAAAGGGAAGAGTATTCCTCTGTGTAATAGAAACTAGCTGATGAGATAAAATTGCTGTTCTACCATTCATTTTGTTTGGAATAAAACAGTTTGTGAGGTCTTAGGCATCCTATGAACATATAGGAAGATTCTTTTTCTTCACTAGGATAATGCTCAGGCTTACTAAGAAAATATATCTAAAAAGCCAAGTTGACTGGACTGAACAAGAGAAGAGCAGAATTTCTCCAATGAGAATCTGAAAGAGATGAAAAGGCTTGGGAGTTTTTTGGGGGGTTTTGTTGTTTGGGTTTTTTTGTGAAGGGAATGCAGGCAGCAACTCTGTCAATAAACTTGGGGTATAAATTAAATGACATATAACATGTTATTTCAAAACAGAAATTGAACTGTAGAAATTCCCTCCCCTCCTGCTTCCCATCCCAAATGACATGAGAGTTCAGACTCTCGGATACACAGACTGGATTGTGTAAAGGTCTGAAGCACTTTTCCAGTCTTATTCTGGTTTGGCATCATTGCTGAATTTTGTTCAAAGCACAAAGAGGATTACTGAACAATTCAGTTCTTTGTGAAAGAAATACTGAGTCTTTGCCAAAGCTGGATAATATCTGAACATCAGTTTTTCTTTTTATTCTTTTTCACTTTACTTGGACAATAGTGATGCTAGACTATTTCCTGCCAGGAAAATGTTGAATCAAAGTTAGCAATTCTTACCTGAATTTAGAATCTCTAGTAACAGAGTATCTCTGGAAGCAGTCTTTTTTTGACTGGTTGCATGGAGTCTTTGTAGTGCGTTGAGAATTAGTCCTGCAAATACTGCTCAGTCATCTGCAATTCAAGATGTTGAAAAAGATGTTTAAGGGGAAAAGATTCTCCAGGATTTACTATGGAGCATAATTAGTATGGCAAACAAAAGAACAATGTTTTCAATAATTTAAGCCATCTGAAAACTGAAATCAGTCCCTTTCCTGATTCGACATTAATAACTTTGCGAGTATTGATCAGTTTTTAAGTTAATTGAAAAGATTTTTTAATGTGGAAATTTTCTGATGTGCATGAAGAGAAAACTTTAGGAAATAAGGGTTCAGTCAACAAACTTCTCAGTTACCATGATTCATCTGTCTTTAGATTTTGAGTTCTCAAGAATGATTATGTCTTTGTAACCTTTGCTGAATAGCAGCACAGAAGATCAACATGATGTTTTGATGTCCAACTGACTTCTCCAAATCTTAATTTGGTTAAGTATGTATTACAGAAACATTCTTCTCCACTTGAGGTCACAGTCTGTTGTGCCTTTGCTTTGCATCTTTGCTTTCAGGTAGCAAAGTTAATCACTGAGGCACTCTATCCATGTGAAGGTATCTTCATTGCAGGGTTAGTAAAAAAGACTTCAACCCTCCATCTAAAATGTTATTGTCTAGAAGAAAGACAATTGTATAAAATGTAAAGGAAAAGGAATGACATGTAGCACATGTTTAAAAAAAAAAAAAAAGGCAGCTACTTCCAGGTGGCTTGTGCTTAAAGGCAATGTCTTTAACAGGGCACAGTTAAAAGTGCTAGAACAACAGCTGAGCATAATTACAAGATCAGGAAAAGAAGAATAATCATGGCTTCAGTGAAACTGAACTTCACCTCAGGTTCCTTAGTGAGGCCACTGATGACGATGATTATTATTATTTCCTGAAGCGTACTTTGAGTCTCTTGTTTCATGGAAATATGAGGTTTGGCTGCTGGAAGAATAACAACAGATTAAGAAATTCAGTATTTGGCAGTTTTGTGGTATTGCATTCCCCTTATCATTTAAAGAAATGAGAGAAGTAAATCTAGACTTTGCCATGGGCTTTTACCACAATTATGTAGACCCTTCAGGGTAGTAAGTTCGAAGTTTTTCTCCCAGTGTTCCACAGTTATCCACCTCCAATCTGATCCATTTAGTTTTCTCTTTAGTTATATCCTATTTCTGCTGTGCTGAAAATAGCAGCCATGGAACACGCACACGCTATTTATCTTTCTAACAACTGTCTTTGCACTTTCCATCATACATTACTCTTATTCCCTTTTCAACTTAGAGAGACTTCTGTTATACATATCCTCTCTATAAGGAACCTACCAACTAATGATAAGTTCTTCAACAACAAACCTAGACACTGGAAAAGTTTCTGGAACCACCAAGTTGTGCACATTCGTAATCTGTGTAACAGTGAGATAGATTACTGTTACCCTTCTCCTTTCTCTTCTGCATACTTGTTGCCTCTTGTCCTTAATGTTATTTTAATCTCTTTAGGGCAGGGACTGTGTCTTCCTGTGATTAGCATAGTGGAGCCCCAGCTATGATTGGGGCCTTCGAAAGTTAATGATGTACAAACAAATACAAAACAAAAACAAAAAATTGGCCTCTGTGGATAAGGTACTACACTGAGTGAGGAGACTGATTTCTGTTCCCAGCGGGGTCAGTGACATGCTGTGAGACACTGTGCAAATCGCTTCAACCCTCTCTGCCTCCATTTCTTCATCAGTAAAGTGAGGATAATTCTTCCTTTATTAATAAGTGCTTTGAAACCTACAGCACAAAAGCATTATAAAAGAGGTAAGTAGCATTACTGTTAAGAATAATACTCAAATATCCAACTCTTCTTCACTGCTAACAGGTTTCAGTACCATTTGGCTGGAGGATGGCACTGTTTAGAATGGTGGATATAGCTTTATCTTTCTTGTTGCTGTAAAGCACCTTGTTTATGAAGACTACCAAGGGAAAAAAAAGAACTCACAAGAAAATCAGACTTTTCATCTATTAATTGTGTGTATGTTCAAAACAGTACATGAACAATGTGTGGGCTGGACCATTTCTGGAGCAGCGTACTTTCTTTTAAACCTTGTGTTTTAAAATGCATTTTCAGTGTGGCAGCACATACAAAGCTTGTGTGGTTTCTTTTTTTATTTTTTAGCTCTTGGTAAAAAATTTCCTACTCCATTCTTTTTACTTCATGTATTTTTCCTACTTGATGACTTACCTTACCAAAATTCCTGGCTCCTCTGCTTCCCTGTTTGTCTTGTCTTGCTTCTTCTTAACTAATCTTTACATTAAGAGGTTTAGGAGATCCAAGCTAAAACCCTTTTAAATTCTCCAGAGATACAGAAGTTGCAAAGGGGGAGATTGAGCTGGGTTGTGCCATTGAATTGGCCAGTGTATATACAGTTAGTGCTAGCCAATTCCATAACTCTTGAGGGTCTCTCTAGACTGTGCTCTTTTCATAAAGCAGTTGAGGTCAGAGGTTATGTCTCTGTATACTGCACTCCTGACGAAATTAAAAGTGTAGAGTTATCTGATGGGAGGCTTTATCATGTATATGAACTTGGAGAGCATTCCAGAAGTTCTGCCTCCTAAATGTCTTTGCAGAGGAAAATGCCTGGCTTTATCATTCAAGTTAGAAAGCAGCTATGGCCTTTGATAATCTGTTTGCTGGTTTTAATTACTAAATGTGTGAAAAAAATGCTTTCAGAATTAACACATGTAGCCTCTAACTTATATGGGGGAAGGGATCTGTGTCAAGGAGTTACTTTGATGTCTAAAATAGTCATATCTATGTGTCAGAACATAGCAATGAACTCCATCACAGCTACAATATGAATTTTGTCTTATTTCATTCCTATTAATGGAACTTACATTGGAGAATCTTGTATTTGAAATTAATTTTTATAAATTTTGTATGAAGTTTTTAAAAATTATTTATACTTAAAAGTATGGACATGGTCACTGTCTCTCTTTGAATGCTACTAGGTAAAGGTCTGTTAATACTGATGTGCTAGAAGTGTAGACTAGAAAGCTCCAAAAAATATTGGTGTCTCTGTTCAGACTTAGAGGAATCAGCTAGTTATTTCTGACTCTTTTCTGATATTCTCTTTAAGAGTTTACTCTACAGTTCTTATTTGTTCTGTCTTTAAACCAAGAGAATGTATTGAATAAAATAGAAAAGTGTTGACATAGATTAATTCTGCGGCATCTGTGGGTCCATCTGCATATACCTATTTTGTGTTTTTTAAATCTCTTTTTCAAATTAGGGATTGCAGATAGGGACAAGAGAACTGGAAGAGATGGGAGCAAAATTCTGTGTTGGCTTACTGCGTTTAAAAAGAATGGCCTCATCCTTGGAATACAATTTGCCTTCTAGTCTATTGGATATTGAAAATGAGCTGATTGAGTCAAGCTGTAAAGTGACAAGGTAGTACACATTTATTATATTTTCTTTCTTTGGGGGAGGGGGGAAATTGCAGTTTCTCAAGTGACATAAAGATTCTTTAAAAAATAGTATTGATGTGTTGTGACCTCTTACTGTAACAATAATCTGAATATATTGGAGACCTATTGTGCTTGGAAGGAAAACAATACAGGCTGAGTTATACTATGGGTCACATTTGTTCCTGGGATAAACACTGGCAATTTTAATGTCATTGCGGGGTTATTATAGGCCATAAAACTCAGTAGTAGGTCTTAAGTCTCAGTTGTCTCTTTGAAAGTTTGGGGTTTTTTTTTGGTTTGGTTGTTTTGTTTTGTTTTGTTGTTACTGGCTACAGTCTTAAAAATGTGTTTAAATGGACTTTAAGTAACTCTAAGGAGTTAGAGCACTAACAACTGTAAGTTTTTATTCCAAACATTTTTTTTTCCTGTTTCTCCTCTGGTGGAAAAATATAACAACACCAAGAAAATTTAAAACATGAGAAATAAAGTTTGGGTCACAAAAGAAATTTATATGCTGAGTAGCTAGGTTATTAAGTTGCCAGTTCTTACAGCTGTAGATGGGCTTGCAAACGTATGCATATTATTGCATGTTTCCATTCATGTAATTCATCACTCAAGTACATGGTAACTAGGGATGCACAGCAAAGTGTGATTTCAAATGTGCAAGCATCTCTTTATGAAAATATGGTTAAAGAACTGATAAAGCAAAATTCCAGACTTCAAAAAAGCATTACACTGGGAAAGAGTAAGGTTTACACACTATAATGTTTCCACTTGGCATACTAAGAGATGAAATATTTTTTATAGTGGTCTTGGCTGTAGCTCCAACTTAACTAAAATGATACAGTGGAAATCTGGGAAAAAATGAAATTTATTACTGTTTTTATGCAGTTGACACAAGGAAGTGCTTGAAACGAAGACTTTCTTTGGAAGTAAGATTAATGAGCTTTGATCTGTAGATGGTAAAAAACTAGCAGAGCTATGGGAGGCCATCTATGACACCCTATCAAAGGGGAAGATTATGTTCATTTCCAGCATTTAAACACTGAAGTGTTACTGGAATGTTAAGTACTAAGAAAAAGTGGAGCTTGTATTCATGCTTAGCGTTTACAGTTAATAATGAAAAGTGAAGTATAAGCTAAAAGGTGATACGAACAATAGGAGTAACAGTAGGAGAGTGTCTTAATGCATCTTTATGTTGTGTCAACTGCACTACTTAGATTTGTGTCATCTTCAAACTTGCTGAGGGTGCACTTGAACTCACTGTCTGTGTCATTGGATTCCCAGATAGTATACTGCCTGGTGAGCTCTTCACACAACATGACAACCTGCTTAAAAGCATGTGATCTGTCTGGGCATGTTTGCACCCCTGATACTCACCTCTGCATTCAGGTGCCGGTGGGGGCTTTCAGATTTTGGAGTTCCCTGCAGCTCAGGATCTTGGGTAGCTCTTTTGGTCTTGAAGTCTGTTTGGGTCTAAATGTGTACCAAGGTGGCTGTGGTCTCTCTGGGTTTCATCCCCAGCCTGGCAGCTGTGACATGTAAATGCCATTTTTGTTACAGAAGAAGGCTCCTTCCTTTTCCTTCCTGAATAGGATTAAGTGGCCCTTCCAACGCACCCGTCCTTGAGAACTGCTGTGCCATTTTCTGACTGCTGCAGCACTGACTTCTCCCACTCTCTAAGGCCATTTAAATCTGCTGGCAGCCCTCATGCCATGTCAACCCCTTGAGAGCTGATGGTTCCTCTTGAGTCTCAGCTCTTACTCACCTTTCCCTCACTGCAGGAACTCCCTGCCCAGCTTGTTCTAGCACTTAGCCTCCAGAACTTAGTGGCAACAGCAGCAGCAGCCATAGTGTCACTGCTGTCTCTGTGTCCCTCACTGACCTTAATAACTAAAGTATGTTTTAATTAGTAATTAAGGTATGTTTTAGAAAACAGCTGTATTAATTCTTGGTGTATTCAATGGCAGGTGATGGAAAAAATACTCTTTTAAATGAAAGTGGTATCCTTAAAGTTCTTCATAAGTATGAAGACTGCAGTATCATACCTGATATATTAGTCAGGTATTTAGGAGTTCATCTTTTTACCCATAAAATGTTGTTTAGTTAGGTTATGCAGAACTTCATAGTTTCGTATTTCTCTTTTAACAGCCATGACTTCAAAATGCACAGATTGTGGCATCCCTTACATTACAGTACTGTAGTTGTGGGATAAATAACTTCTGCTAACCTGAGAAAAATAATATTTTCCTTTTAAAAGGATAAGTGGGAGGTGTAGTGGTAGAGGAAGAAGGATTATTGAGCAAGTTAATTAGAAGGAGCCCAAGGGAAGGGTTAGGAAATTAAAACCCATAGAATCAGCATGACAGCAGCTAAAAATATATTGTAACAAGATATGGTGAGGATGGGGAACGGCAGGGAAACAGATAAAGAATTTGATTAAACAGCAAGAAATTTTTTCAGGTGTTTTGATTGCTGCATTTCTTGTGACCCAGCCTCAGTAAAATAGCAGAGTAATAATTACACTTTGCAGATTTATACTAACCTTTAGAATAAAGATTACTGAAAAGTTAAATATGTAAGGTTAACGTTCACTACATCAGAAGAAAATGTGTCATGGGAAGCAAACATACACGAGTGGTATGTGACACAGGTTTTTCCTTTGTGTAGAAATTACTTAGATACGATTTTGTGAGGAACGAAAATTCAAGAAAGGGAAAGTGGAAAAATAATCGTAATAAATATTATGGTGACATTTATTTTCAGTAATAAATGACTTAGAAGCTATGGTGTGTTGCTCTGTATGGTAGTAGAAAGGTAGGATTATTATGAAGCAGACTTCAGAGCTAGTTTTTATTTTAAAGGTTTATTTAGCTTTCTAAATAATATCTGTTCTAATCTTTGATCTGTTCTAATGCTACTTTTCTTGAAGAAGGAAAATAAACTATAATAATGGTGTTCATTTAATTAAATATAAAGTGACAGTGAAGAGCATCCCTCAGTTTTAGATGTACATGTGCCAGAGCGATTGTCTAACGTGTTACAGCAGACGTGCTGCCTTTATAACTGTTCTCAGTGCCTGAATTTCTAGAAGTTAGGGGAATGCCTACATGCTCACACACACATAAGTGTGTAAAAGCAATTTATTCAAGTATAAAAAAAGTGTATTGAATAATTATATCTGTGTGTTTTTCAAGACAATATAACATAGAACATTTTATATGAACTAACAGGACACTGAAGAGATGAACTATGTGATTTGCTTCTGCATCAAGTTCTGTGTTTTTTTCCCTAAGGTGGGCTTTGTTGGTTGCTTTCTTTTAACTGGATCAACTATATTAGTTTAATATCCAAATAATGTCATTTATTAAAAAGAGTGGATAGAATTTTTAAGAGCTTTATGTCTCACTAACGTGAACTTTCAGAAGTGCTGACAGTAATGTATTAAACATCCCATTGTCAGTGATGAGTAAAATACTTGTCCTTCACATAGCTCATTGTAGTTTTCTGTTTCAGTGTTCAGAATTATTACCTAATATTGGACCAACATTCAGATTTAATAGCTCCATTTCCTGTCAGTTGAATTACGCAGTCTATTTGCCAGCTGCAGTGTGGATTCCTTGCATACAAAAGCTAACGAATCAATACCTGTATTAAGGGATTAGAAAGCAGAAATTGCAAAAAAGCTGTGGGCTTGTCAGACTGTGATACATCTGGTGAAGTCCCTGTCATTTGTTTCTTTAAATAAATGAAACATTTAAACTTTTAATTTCCCCAGCTTCTTTTTTCCTTAGAGGAAGTGTTGGTAGGTAGTGACTTCCTAGGGCAAAAAGCGTCACAGGACGAAAGCACAGAAAAATTGTACTCCTTTCTGATTCTACCACACGTTCCTCATGCAGAGCATGTACCCTTAGTGTGTATTGGCTTCTCCATCTGTGAAATTAAAGACTTAGCAAAGATTCTGATTATTTTCTTCATTATTTGTCTCCTAAATGGAAATAATTTCATTTTAAACAACCAGTTCATTAACCAGCATAATGGGATGTTGCCCTTGTTACAGCTTAAATAACCTGTAAAGTATGTAGTTTTGTGGAACTTTCCTTTTTACAGAGTATTGAGTACAGGCTTGTTTAGTGAACCATGATACAGATTGTTTTGAACATAATTTTTTTCCGCCTAAGATAGGGAGCAGTTCTTCTTCCGATATTTGAATTAACTATAGACAGTGTTATAAGTTAGTATAAGAATTTAGACAACTCAATTCCAATTAAACATTGATAAATTTATTAAGCAAGCGATAATAAAGCAAAACAGCGCTGGGTGGCCTGGAGGGCAGTGCCCTGCCGAGGCAGTGTCTCTTTTTATACACGTTCGTGGTTGTTAAGTACATGTTAAGTGGTGTCTGGCATTGGCTTTTCGGATGTAAATTTGTTTGTGGCTTGAGTGCGGTGGCTGGGTAAGTGGTCGTCTGGTATTTGTCAGAGATGAAAAGGTGCAGTTCTTATCAGTTGTTTATTGACACTTGCTTTATTAGCAAGCTGTCTGTGAAACTCCTCTTGTTTAATTACAACAAAAAGTTTCTGACTCCCTCACACACATAAGATTTTATGAACAAAGTTAACCCCTCTATTACAGACAGCACAAAACATTACAGTGTGCCTGTCACTGAGGCTGCAGGTAGATGAAGAATACTGTGAAATATATTTATATTCAATAGAGATTGCATTGGAGATTTCAGGTGGTGCAGTTAAGCTGCTAAAGGTTTAGAAAGAAGCAGTGATTAGTCCTTTTAATTATAAAGCCACAGCCAAGCTAGGTTTTTGTGTGCCTTAAGAGAAAATTCATCAAAATTAGTATGCAAACATTTCTACAAGTTCTGTGTGATGTTTTTCAATAAGAACATCCTCACTGTTTGTATGAGTTCTGTATGATTTGATTATTAGGTAAAATGCATTACAAAACCTTCTTAGGGCTTAATCTGAATATGAAAATACTTATGAAATATTTATCAATACTTAGTGCTTTTAAGCAGAGAGCCTATTATATCCCAAGTGAGGTTAGTAAAACTGGGCCTGGAAAACAGTTTTTTCCCTTTTTCTTTTTCCCCCACTTCTGTTCTAGGTAGGTGAGAGCATCAGAAAGTTGTATTTTAACCTTTTTCCAGTTAACACTAAAAGTTAATCCTCTTGTTAATCCTGTTGTTCTTGTAGGCCATTAGTAGACCATTCTGTAGGTGGTAGCTCAGTTCCTTATTTCATTGCCTCAGAGTTGCAAGGCTTAACAAATTTTAAGTTTTACCTGCATGTAAATGTGTGAGAACCTGGTATGAGTTAAGGGATTCATGTGGGAACTTAACATTAGTGGTAACCACAACTCCTTGTTTTGTCATCTCTGATATTTATAAAGTAATTGCTCACAATGCTTTTCAGCAAAATGTGTGTTTTAATACAGAGGTTTCGCAGTTGAATTTTTAGATTGTTTTTAGGTTTGCTATATATCCTGTAGCAATGGATGTGTCTTTTTGTAGTTGTTTTCTTCTGCAGCAACTTCTGATAGTGCTGTATTTACAATAAGTTCTTACTGGCCATTAGTGTAGCTGATTTGTCATGGCACATTTGGATAACAAGTTGTATATGACTGATTAATTAGTTCAAGGTCTTACAAACATGGCTTCGGCTCCCAGCTGTTTTACACGCAATTAAGAAATCAATACCCTTTCAGGTAAACTGCTGCTTTCCTGAGATAATTTTTGGATTATCTTATGTCAGGAAAGGGACAGGACATAGTCTAAATGCATTATTCCAAATAAAACTTTCAACTTTTAACATGATTCATGAAACTTCTTGTTTGTTATAGCCCCACTACGTACATTTTGGATGAAGATGAGCCTCGCTTCCTTGAAGAAGTTGATTACAGTGCAGAGAGCAATGATGATCAAGATGTTGAATTAGCTGATAATGCGGGTGATTATGAGGCAACTAATCAAGATGATGGACTTTCAGACTCAGATTCAACAAGGATACTCCTTTCTTGAACCAGCTTTGCCTCCAGTAATAGGAAATTAAGTATCCTGGATTTCCATAGTCATACACTTCCTTGCTGTTTTCTACAAAGGGGATATAGCTTCAGTTAATGCAAATAACTGGGGCCTGCCTAGCTCAAGGATAATAAATATTTCTGACAAATTTGTGTGTGTTTTATTTAAGGAGTTCTGTGTTTTCTTTTAGCACTGAATAGATAAATTTATTTACTATTTCATTTTTTTACTAAAGACTACCGCATGGCATTTTGTGTCCTTAACCCTATCTTAAGAAAAATGGATTATAATTTGTGTTGTGTCAGAGTACAGAAAGTAATTTTTTGTGGTATGGTTCTTTGAGTTGCTTCCTAAAAAATTACATATGTACAGATTTTATAAATTAATTTGTGTACGTGTGTGTATATGCGCGTGTGTATACTGAGGTGAAGAGGTTATTTTTCAACATTATTTCAAAGATACTTGATTGTGTTTGAAGCAATGTAGTGCCTGCTCTGAAACCATTCAATAATTACTAAATTAAAAATGAGAACTTAATGTATGAATTTTTGCACTTGTTTCTTGCTTCTGATGATTATATGGTTTTGCTACACTATTAGGTGAAAATATTTAATATCTTTTCAGAGTTCTGGAATTTTGCACAGTGACCAATGCAGCCTGTGCTTAGAAGAGCTAGACTCTTGTATAAAACTCTCCCATAGAATAGGCATGGTTTAATTTGAAGAAGTTTTCTTATTAAGTGTACATGACTACAAGAAGGGTTAGGTATGTACACTATCTATGTTCAGTTACCCAGCCGCTCAATTTTTGTAGTTGAATATGCACGTAGTTAAAAAGTATTCACTTTTACTGGGATTTCATAAATATATACCCAGTTCCATTGGTTTAATAGGGAAGGTGCATTTTGGTTTAAACCTTTTTTTCTGATCACAGTCTAGTGTTAACTCTGCTCTGAGAAGGAGATTGGACTGTAACTTCCTGAGGTCTCTTCCAGCCAGAAAAATTATTCTGTGATTCTATATTCTTCATGTTTAAAGTCAAGCTGTCGAATACAGAGTTTATACTTCTTCATCTTCTCCCATCATCTGCTAATTCTTAATGCCTCTTACCTCTGCTTAAGATAAGATCTAATAGAGAAATGAAGTTGTACTCTGTTGTTTACAGAATTGACATGTTTTGCAATGAAAAATAATCTTCCAAAATTATTTTTACTTGATGTGACCCAGTTGTGGCATTCATTTTCTGCTGCATGTGCAAGGATTTTAAGAGCATGAAGAATAGCATTTCTAAGTTATAGCAGGTTTTTAACTGGTGAGAACTTTGTTTATGTTCACTCTTGCAAATTGTATTTTAGATGGGAAGGTTGCTTTTGGTAGAAGGATTAGAAAAGGATAAATTTAAGAGAATTAACTGTATCAATGATTTTGAGCCAGGAGACATATTTTCATCAGGATCTGCTGTTTCAAATGCAGCGTTGTTTGGTAATGCCTGTCCATACCATCTTTATTCTGAAACTGGGGAAGGGTTTTAGATCCCTTGTAATACACTACTGTGTTTCTGTTTAAAGGCTTAAATTTATATTAGTAGACATGCAATATTGAGATGTACAGATGGAAAAGATGAAAACATTTACATTCTTATCCTTTTATAAGTTTTTCTCTCTAGTGAAAATTATCTTTCCTTGTGTTCTGTGAACTACATACTGTGAGTAAGAACATTTATTAAATACCCTATTGAAGAGGAGCTTTCTGCAGTGAAAGTAGAGGAATTTGAATTATCTGTAAGTCAGTCCAGTGACAGCAGTTCAGAATGCTCATATTGCCCTGTCAGTCTTATACAAGTTATCTACATAAATAGGTTTTCATCCTTAAGGGGTCTTACTTCAGTAGGAGTAGTATTCTAAAATAAAATTATTCAGAAATAATTTGACTTAAATTTCAGGGAGTGCAGGATGCCCATGTTAGTTAACCCCATTGTGCATTTCTTCATTTGAATTTCTGTTAATCCTGGAACACTATACTACAGGCAAGACTAGAAATATACTTCATCCATTTAGAAAGAATTGTGGCTTGGTAGTACAAAATCATCTTTTCCTCCTCAGTAAATATGCATATATGTTCTACTAATGTTTTCTACAGCTTTTAGTCTGTGCAAAGAAAGAGTTATGAATGGCTTATATAATGGCTCAGGATAATGTGTTTATACATTAGGTTCTGATGCACTTATGAATTAGAATTCATACATTAGATGTCAGTCTGGCAGCTGCTGGTCTGAGCTTCTACCAGTGCAGTTCCAATGCAAGAGGTGAAACTTTGTCCTTATCTTACACATTGTTGAAAATACAAAGGTTGTTACCTCTTACATGTTTTGTGGCACTTACCTTTCCAAAGATACAGTCTCCACTTGGGCTCATAGGGATGCCAGTCCACAGGAGGAACTGCTGCTGTGATAATGGCTTCATGCTGTTTATCCCTTGTCTGCTACTTGTTGCCATTGTTGCAGCAGTGTTGGCAGACACGTGTCTGTGCCCCCATTTATGTGTTTTGGTGGGAAATCTGGTATTTAGCTGAAAATGGAATAGCTAACACTTTGAGCACACACTCCATTCTACTACTGTGGCATTTACCCCAGATAAATGGACAGAATTGTAGCAAAGAATGGCAGTGTCTTGGACTGTCACAAATCAGTCATCTAGCATGGTTTGTCCCAGCCAATTGACTGTATTTATTCTATGCATTGGCATTTCAACATGTTTCTGTTTTTAAATTATACTGTTTACTGTAGGCATGACTGGTTCTGTATAGGCAAAGAACATATCCGTATATCTTCCTCCAGTAGTAACAACAAATAAGATTATAAACAATAATTACATCTGTGTTATTTACTGTCTTGTTTCTAAATAATTGCTGGATGGTGAATTACTCTATTCCTTTTCCAGGTATAATTCAAGTTGCAGCACAAATTTTGGTATTGTGTCTCCACTGGTGACATCCCCTCGCGTATTGTAGCTTACAGCAGTTTGTGCCAAAATCTTGCCTGGCCATTTTTCAAGATGGATTGTTTTATCAGCCTGACTTACCAGGGAGTATTGGTTTGAATCCCAAATAAGACTGCAGAAGCAGTAAACACTGTTCACAAAATGCAAAAATGCAAGGTTTCAGATAGTTTCTATTGTAATGCTGTAAGAGGTATAATTGTTGCAGTGTTATTATGCATGCCCCCAGAAAAATACTTATTAATAAAAATGCTTAATAAAGAATTAATTACAATCTTTTGCTTCCCTGTTATTGGTTAGTAATGATTAAAGGATTTCTCATCATAACATTTGCAGTAGTGTACCTACCTATAAGGATGGGAGTGTGCCTAGCATTTTAAAAAGGAGAATATTTTTGTTCTGTGTCAAAATAAAGTCAGTGTGCTGCAGGCTTGGAGTAGCATTTGCATATTAATTGACTGAATTATAACTGTCTTAAAAAGTTTAATATTCATCAATGTTTGTAAAACTTACGAAAGCTTTGGATGAAACACAATGAAGGTCATTGCAGAGCACGCAGAAGAGCCTGGTGGTGAGAGTCTTTCTCTCCTACACAGCTAGTAGAATATTAATCTGATCTAGGAAAGGCATAAGTATATTCTCACTAAGTCACCCCTTTACAATTCAACTCAGACTGCAGTTGAGGACTAAGTTATTTTTACTATTTATATTTTTGCAGTAGCAATTTTAAAATTTCCACAATTTTTTGAGGGAAAACTTAAGGTAGATCTAATTTTATGCTGTTTGGAAAGAGCAAGTGATTACTAGGGATCATCAGTGTAACATTTGAAAATATATTTGCAGTTTATTTAACTATATCTGTCATGTTACTTCAAGATGAACAACTTCCTTCACAAGCTCTGTTGTCCAAACTGGTCTTGAGTGTAAAAGAGTCACAGTGACTCGTAAATTCGTCTAAGGATATCTTTCTTTGATCTCATCAGTTTCTAATGTCGTCAGGATACAAAGTACTTGAGATGTGATTTCGCATCTTTTTTGCTTAAGTAAACTAACTCTAGATTGCTTTGAAAGATGGGCTTTAAATACAAAATGCCAAACAGCTTTGGCACCTAGTAAAGAATACATCATCTTAAATGATGGATGTCTTGGCTATTTTTAACAGTATCATATAAAGAATTTATTTAGTCCCTGTAAAATACTTCATAACTATGAAACACACCCCATTATTTCTTCTGTTATTAGAAAAAGTTAGATGCTATATTTTTTTGTCTTTTTTTTTTTTTTAACAGATCTTTTAACTGCTGACAACTCTTCTAATATCTCAATCTAAGAACACAATGACTTTCTAAGAAAACTGGACAAAAGTTTTGACTAATTTTAAAAAAAGCACAACACTCTTATGACAGCTTTTGAAGCAGTTCAGAAGGAGTCATTGCTGAAAAATATGGGTTTATCCACAAAGAGAACAGTACATCATAGGATTTGCTGATCCAAATTATGTGGTTACCAAATGCCAACCAGCTGCTCCCTTTCATTGTCTCTGTGAAATTCTTGCCATAGGATGTTTGTGCTTAGTGTTTGCCCCTCTTTCTGGCAAGGGGTTATTTAGCATGCACCATTTTTTGTGGTAGATTGGAAGAATATATAGTATGGCACCACATAGCACTACTGTAAATTTTCACTGGACTGAATGCTAACTAATAAAAGAACCTGACTAATAAAATTCTACAATAGTACTTCCATACATGAAATGCTGCTGTTAATGTGGAGAGGGGAGATTGACTTACAACATCCTGAAATAGGACTCTTCTATACACTGTCCCTCCAGATTTACCAAGGTTAAGATAATAAATGTACTAAAGTATCTGCACAATTTTATACAGGTGTAGTGACCCTGGGTGGATGCTAGGTACTCACTACAGCTGCTCTCTCACTCCCATCTGCAACTGGAGAGAGCAGAGAAAAAAAAAAAAAGAAAAAGGGAATCATGAGTTAAGTGCTGGGAGAGGTCTTGATCATGGGCAAAACAGACTTGCAATGAGGATATTAATTGAATTTATTATAAATAGGATCAGGGCAAAAGTGTGAGAAGTAAAATAATCTTAAAAATACCTTCTTCCCACCCCTCACTCCAAACTCTGCCTCCTCCCCCTCCAGTGGTGCAGGGGGATGGGGAATGGTGGTTACAGTCAGCTGTTGTTTCAGCTGCTGCTCAGGGAGAGGAGTCTTTTCCCTGCTCCTATGGGGTCAGGAGACAGTCCTTGATGGACCTCTCTGGCATGGGACCATCCCTCAGGCAGCAGCTCTTCCCACACTGCTTTCCCGTGGGTCACTCCTCCATGGGGTGCAGTCCTTTACAAATAAGCGGTACTGGCGTGGGTCCCCCACAGGGCCACAAGTCCTACCCGGGAAAAACCTAGTCCAGCATGGGCTTCCCTCTCCACGGGCCACAGGTCTCCTGCAGGATCCTGCACCAGCTTGGGCCTCCCATGGAGTCACAGCCTCCTTCGTGCCTCCACCTGCTCCAGGATGGGCTGCAGGGGTGTCTCTGCACCCCCATGGTCACAGAGTTATGTTATCACAGAGGTGTTACTGTTACTCCTGATTGACTCAGCCATGCCCACCAAGAGGAAGACCTTCCTGGAGCCGGCTGGCATTGGCTCCACCTGACAGGGGAACCTTCTAGCAGCTTCTAACAGAAGCCACCCCTGTAGCCCCCCCACCACGAAAACCCAGCCACAGAAACCCACTACAACAGGCTAAGAAATTTTTTTTCCTAAACCCCAAACTACCTTTATCTGTCTCTTTCCTACTCACTTCAAAAGAAAAAGGCTAGATTCTCTTGTTTTGTATTCAGAAAGTAATTCACTCTATTACTTAATTTTTTTAGGCTTTTTTACCCCCTGTAAAAGGCAACTGGAATCCAAAAATCATGTCATACTATTATAGAAGTCCTTATACAGCTAATCTGTATAAGGTGTTTTATTTTAATGTAAATTGTAAGCTTATTAGAAAAGCTGTCAAGGTCCTAATGAGGCTTTTCCCAGAACATGTAGGTCCATGGACAAGAAGCAGACAAGATGGGGCTTAGCTTTTACAGAACAATCTTGCTTCCCTTCAGACTTGAAACAAATGTTATTTGCTTTCCAGGCGGCTGGGAAGAGCGATGCAGCCTGGAGCTAAAACCTGGTTGCTTAGCTTATGCTTTATTTACAGCTTTCGGCCTTCTAAAAGTTTAACCCTGGCACCTGAAACAGCTCTGGGAGGCTACTGACTTTCAGAGTTGGGTTTCTTTACACTGGGGTGGTCTTTCTCCACTTGATAGGTTGCAGGCCACTCTCCTTAGGAAGTCTCACTTAGCCTTTCTGGATTAAACCAGAACTGTTGTCTTCTCTGGTTAATTATTAAGGTAGCATAAAATGTTCTCGGATGGCAACATGGCATTAATGCTCACTTTGTTCCTAAAAGAAAATGGGTATGAAGATATTTCGGCACAAACAAGACAGGAAGCACAGAGTAAGGAAGACAGATGATCTTTAATATTTTGTATAGTATTTGCTTAATTATACCATATTTACATAGTTCCTATTAATGATACAAACAGTCCAGCTGACACCTCATATTAAAAGGGTTCAGTTGTATGTTTTGTGAAGACAAACTGGAATGAGATGTCCTGCACAAATCCTCTGCCAATAGTCTGCCTTAATACTTGGCTTTGATCTGTCATCCCGCTTAATTTAGTACGATACACTGCCAAATGAAAAGTCCTAAACTGGGTCAGACAGTAATCCAAAATAACGTATGCCTAGGTATTTTGTCCTGTGAAGACTGTTGCAAAAATTGCAGATTCTCTGCAAAAGTCATTCTCCTGTTCTAGCTCATGTATAATCACAAAAGGCACAAGTTCAATTTACACAGATTTTGTGCTTGTGTGCACTTTTGTACACCAGTTCAGTTTACCCACATCTGCTCTAGGTTACTTTGTTCTTCTAAAGTATCCAGTCTAGTCAAATCAGTCCTTTAGCTTAAGTGATTAGCCAGTGACATTTCCCTCTTACTTTGGGTCTGACCTCACTGTTGACAAAAGCGCTCTGTATGAATCACAGCAGTCAGTATTGCTTGAAAACTCTGCTATTATCAACACCTTGAGGGTGTTCTAGAATGAAAGAGGGCACCCCATATCATCTGTTTAAATACAGTAGCTCTTTCTTCAGTTTGACAGGTACTTGTTCTATTTGTCCAAAGACTAAATGTCTGGAACATAAGTAGGCAATATTTTAGAATATAATAATTTTTCAGACCTATGAGTGAATTCAAACACATATTAACTCTATAAATCCCTCTATGCTAGGCATCTGTACCCAAATTTTAATAGGGAAATAGCTCAAATCTTATGTGCTCCCACATGGGTGGCTCCTGATTAGCTAATTCTATAAGGAAGCCAAGTTACCTGGTGTTCCCTCTCACACAGCTTCCTGTGTTGAGGAGAAAATGCTGTCAGTCACAGCAGCGGAAGTCTTCACCTTAACATTGTTCACATGGCTGCATCTGCCTCACAGACTCTAGAGATCTGTGCACAGATTTCCCTCTGCCTCTCAGTTGTGCTTTGTGGTACAGTGAGAGGGACAAAAGATAAATTACAATTAGTCATTCTTAAAGGTCACATAGACTACTGCTTAACAGTATCCACCCTCCTCCATGACTTGTCCACCAGGACAAGGTGGCTATGGGCAAAGTGCCCACTGTCAGTAAAGAAAATGGAAGGTGATAGGCACAAGAAATAGCTTCTTTGTTTGTAGTCTCTGGACAGCAGAAGCAAATGGGTCCTGAGAAATGGCTTGGCCGCCTGTGAAACTCCTTCCCACAATCCCTATGTGAGCTTCCTACCATGCTGTGGCAAGGGCTGGCCCAGTGCTGGGGCCCTGATGGGGCACTGCTGCCTGACCTGGGGCCGGGCTACTGGCACAACTGTGAGAGCATTCCCACAACGGTATGAAAAGTAATACTGGAGGCAGGGACCAGGTTCTTGAAACTGGGTCATTGATGGGTCAAGGATTCAAGAAAGAAAACACCAGCCTAGAAATCTTAGGGGAAAACCAGAGAGTAGCTATTGGCTGAGCCACTGGAGCTAGTGTGTAGATGGCAGATGTCTCTGTGGGGCTGAAGATTTCATGGGAGCCCCCTCTGCCTGTAGAACCAGTGCCCATCTGGCCACCAGAGCATTCTTGGGGTGGTCTTTGACCAACAGATCACTAAATCCCAGCTGCCTTTTGTCCATGAGAGGCAGTGAGGAAAACCGTAGAATCACAGAATTATTTTTGGCGGTAAAAGACAACTGAGATCTTTGAGTCCAACCATTAGCCGAACAGTGCCATGTCTACCACTAAACCATGTCCCTAAGCACCACACCTTTTAAATAACTGCAGGG